ATTATTTGAATAATTTGTTCATTCTCCATTACTGTTAGAGTTTAAGTTTTGGAAACTGTTGAGAAATCCTAAGGTTTTAAGTCCTGCTAGGAGAGTGCATCTTTCTTGTTGCAGCAGAGGGCAGTTTAAGAAAAAGTGATGTGTTGTTTTCTGTTTAGCACCACATATACAAAATGGGTCATTTACTGTCGCAAAGTTATAGGCATATAGATGAGCTTTTAGAATCAGACCAGCTCTAAATCTATTAAACAAAATCTCAATATCCCTTGGCATTGTCATATTCATTTTTGTAAATATACTGAGGGAAAATTGATGTTCATAGTTTCATAGACATTTGGGGAATCCTGCTGGTCAATTCAGTAGCAGAGGGCCGAAAAACCGAAAAAGAGTATTATGCTATGGTAAGTTAAAACTTAACCATTCAGCCAAACTCTAACTTTCGACCGGGATAATACACCAGGTCACATTGCTAATATTGTGCAGGGAAGAATCACAGATAACTGGCAAAATAGATGGTAAAGCTGCCCCAAGTTCCATACTCTCCAGATAAGACAATCCTCTATTTTTCTGTTTTCCTGATGGCTTCAAAGCACTTTATCGTTAATAGGTTGAATGCCAGCGACCGAGCATTAAACATGAGGGAGAACATTTATAACACCTTGGGACAATAGTTGTGACTATTTTAAGTACATATGTACATTTGTACAAAAGGGAGGAAAGGAAATGCATGTGATACACTCATAATTGCCTACTTTTCTGATGTTTTTCTACTAAAATAACAAACGAAAAAAACATTATGACAAATGGGTCTTTTTTTCTTTTTGGAGATCAATTATGTAATATTTCCCAACCTTTTTGTACATTAACCAAATTAAAAAAAAATTGGGCTAGATACTTGACATCATATTTTTATTGTTTTTCGGATTATCTTAAGTCTACAAATTAGAATAAAATGCTGCATTTTTGGTGAAATTGGCTCATAATTGGGGGAAATTGGTGATGATGAGTGGATTAATGACAGCTTAAGAGATAATCCGATCCACTTTATTTTCATTCTAATGCGACCCCTAATGGAAGATAACATATTGACCAAACAAATGCATTTGTTTTAGTGGTCAAATAATTATTACAACTTAAGGAGGAGCTGCCTAAAAAAACTTGCAATAATGTCTATCATGTTTTTCAGGGTCTATATCCCTGAAAAATGTTCTCAAGTTAAAAGGTTAGGTGTACATGGAGGTAGGTTTTTCCAACAGTGACAACAAGATGCTTTAAATAAATGTGCTCTTCACATCGTTGGTAATTAGAGACCATACGGCCATAATATACTGACCACTTGATAACATTGTCAATTAAAGGACGTCGTTCAGCCATGAAGCTTAACTGCTTGTTAGTAAAGATAATCCATCAAGGTACATCAAGAATCGTGCATTATGTTTCCATATGACCATTGCCTTCATAAATCATTGAATTATTAAATTGTCAGATACATATATTACACATCTTGAAATATATAAATCCATTTATCTCCATGCCCAGTAAAATTCAAGGGAGATAAGTTGGTGAGATATATCCCGTATCCTGATTTTGAGATTTCATATCCAGGACCTATTTTTCTCCTGACATATCTAACCCTACTATCACACCAAACTAGTTTTCACTACGTTCTCGAAAACGGGCTTCGACTGTGTACGAACGGACTGGACCTACAAAGAACCGTTTGGGATCTATTTACAAACTTCATCGAACGTACTCGAACGGGTAGGTCCTCTAGAACTTAGACAATGCTCAAAATGTTCTCGTGGTCGTCACGTTCTACAATTAGAACGAGTGACAACGTACTAACAACGAGCTGGACGTACTACGAACGGAACTGTCGTACTTCAATCCTACTAGGGACGTTTTAACAACGAGTTGAACTGTCTGAGGACGTGTTGAGAACGAGGTAGAACTAATTGCAAACGGGTTTAAACTGATTAAGAACGTATTTAACACTGCTTATGAACGAGTTAGCAAAAATATAGCTATCACACCAAACAAGTTGCCACTGCGTTCTTAAAAACTGGTTTTAAACTGTGTGCGAACGGAATGAACGTAGCTGCAACTTTCTACGGTCTATTTACGAACTTTACGAACGTTCTCAGACGGGAATGTGATTTTAGAATTTTGAATCGATTCAAAATTCGATGGCGACCATACCGTTCTGTAATCAGGTCATGTTGACCTTCTAGACTAAGGGACGCGTTCTACGAAGTTGCACACCGACGTGGTGCGACCTGAACGAACTGCGAACGAGATAGACGTATTGAAGACTGTTTAAGAACGAAGAAGCTAATTATTTCAGACATATTTCCCGACCACAGCCAGATTGAGCCCGTTTTACGACGTTTTCGTAGGACTGGCAAGAACGGGTAAAAACTAGTTTGGTGTGATAGGGGGGGTAAAGTCGGGCCAATTGAACGATGTGAACCAGATGAGCGCAAAATTATAAGATAAACAGATCATCCTATAGTCGGTGCAGGATATTGGGATTATCCCTTGGCCAATATAATATATCTACCCTTGGGAATCTACGGCCATTGGGCAAATATATTATATTGGCCTCATTGTGTTTGTGGCTCAAATTATTTGTATTAATTAAGAAAGAAAAAAAGAACAAAATGTAGCACAATTTGGTGGTAGCTACAAAACAGGGCATAATCATTACATATTGAATTTATATTGTGCGAAATTGCAATGATAATTTATAAATCCGATCATAAGGATAACAAAACCCAACTATTCCAAATGATAATCCAACTTGAAATGAAACAATGTGTTATACCCCCTCCCCAAACCATTCAATATCCAATATCACAATCCGAGACCATAACGTAAAGGGACATTTCACTCATAATGAACTCATTACAATACATGTTGAAAAATAAATCAAAAATTGAGAGCCAATACTCAAAATATAAAAAATAGTTGTAGATACTAGTATTCAAACAAGACAGAGCGTTTAGTCCCAAATGATGTGGGACAAGCAAAATCTAATACCGAAATAAAATACATTAATTTGATATATATATAGTAGCTTTATTTGTAGTGTGGGGCGATCTGATCGTAGCTTTTGTATCTGCGATTGAAAGATAGAGCATTCTGTCTCCAATGATGTGGGACACACAAAATCCAATCTCGAAAAATACATTAATACGATACATCTAGCAGCTTTATTTGTAGTCTGGGGCAATCTGATTGTAGCTTTTGTATCCACGATTGATTTATGAGCTTAAATATCTTAAGAGGAAGGCAGATGGTTAGGGACATTAAAACGATGTACTACGTCTAGCAACAGTTCTTATGTTGATCAATAATGAAGTTACCCTACCACAAATTGTCCAATATCCAAATACAAATCCTGTCAAAACAATATTACCGAGAAAATAATATGCAGAATGCACAAGGGGGGTGGCATTAACAGTTGACAGCACCTACTGGATCACAAAAGCGTACTAGGTTAATCATCCCTTTTCATTATCGAAGCATTTCTGAATGAATACAACTATAGTGTGTTATTCTGGTTTTGTTCAAAATACTACAGGCAGCTTTCCATACTAATCAATCAGGAAAGTTTTGAATAAATAACGCCTAAATCAAAACAGGTAATCCCAAATTGTCTCTGCTAACAGGTAATATTTTTTAATTCAGAGATATGTAAAGCATTGTCACCACCGTTCTTCCATCTGTGTGGAACAAACTTTGTTTTGGCCAATTAAGAGTCCCCAGCTCAAAACTCTTGCGCACGTACTCTATATGATTTCTCAATCTTTAAATGCACTTTAAACGAGGAAGCTTGACATGGATGATGCAACTTTGATAAGATCCGCTTTATCCATCAGAGTCAAATTACAATGGTGTTTCTAAACATCAGAATTGTTATATTAAATACATTATTTTATTTAATGTATTTGAATAATTAAAATGTAATATGAGAAAAATGTGCATCTTTGCATGTTTATAAGACAATACGTTTATTTTTGATATATTATGAGAAAATTATAATTCAAATGTGCAAATATCATATTCATAAACGGGTTCGGCCTGGTAAGACAGCATGTCCATCGCACATCGTAAATTGCAAAAATCTATAAAACTGATTTTTCCGCATGAGCGTGTTACTTGATGATAAAAACGCTGACACCGACAACTGGCTTGATATCAAATTATCCCCTACAGTCAAACTACAATCGTGTTTCTAAAAATCAAAATTGTCATATAATATATTGTTTTATTAAATGTACTTGAAGTATGAAACTTTAAGATGAGAAAAATTTTCACATGTATAAACGATAATTGTTTTTTAATTGCCATTTAACAAAATAACGCAGGATCATATTTTTCATTCAAATGAACTGGTTAAATGGCGATGAATCTATAATTAAGAAAGTTATCTACATATATAGTCTAATTTCAAAATAATTCAATCCACGTGGTTTTGTACATGCAATAGCAAAGACATGATGTACAAACATCATTTCATTAGCCAAATGTATTGTATTGTATTGTATTGTATTGTGTCGTATTGTATTGCATTGTATTGGTTCAAATTTTAACCAAAACATTCGCATTCAAAATGTATTCTTATAGTTTGACGAGATTGTAATCTATGATTTATCAGTGTATAACCATTTTCTCATTCATTCAGGAATTTAATTTACCACGCGAAGCATCGAACCAAAAAGTAGCCCTACTCCATCATCATCATTCGGAAATTCACGGTGTAAGTCTAAACGCCATTTGCTTAAAGTACAGGAAACTTGGTTGACGCTTTAATCAATATCCAAATTCATATCATTAGCTCAGACTATACAAAATTTATTCGAGGGAAAGTATTCCACGGGAATTCACATACCATGCTAGGAGGATATATTATTTAAATCCTACAATACATTTTCCTCCCAGGATAACCCCATTGATTTTGAATTTAACATATCCCTAGGGCCTCACGTGTTTACTTCATGTATGCGTTTCTTCTAATGAATTGAAACAAAGCTATTCTATTATTCATTCATCTTTTATCGCATTTATTTCCATGTCTGATCAATACATTGTGGAGCTGATAATACTGATTTTTATGCTTTGTCACATGTTATGAAATATTATTGTTATTAATTGAAACCGACATTGACTTACAGTTAGACGTTTTCATGAAATCTAAAACTGCGTCTAAATATTCTACTGCCACTTTGTCCGCCCATGAATGAGGAATAGACCCCGTGAAAAATCCGCAATGCCCTCCTTTATGAGTAGCAGCTAAGAGAAAGTTGGGATAAATCTCAAATAATTCAAATGGAATGTTTTTCTTTTTACAAATTGGATCATCGATGCTATTTATGCACATCACTGGAATGCTTACATCATCGACATCTCTCATCGGATTGTTCTTGTCCCAGTAATGGTCCATTGTTTCGTATCCATACATTTTGTTATAAACCGCATCTTCGAATTCGGTCAAAGAATTTGCTTGGAGGGCTTGATGTGGATGTATAACATCTGACAAGGCATGCAAATGTTTTGATAAAAGTCTTTTAAGACTATACAACAATATATATTCGTAAGGTTTTTGTATGGTGTTAGAAAACAGTTCTGCTGCATCGTACCCTGGGCTTATTAACACACCCGCTTTTAAATATGCAGACGAACCAAATTCTCCTAAATATGACACCAAGAGCCCTGAGCCTGCACTTGAGCCTAACCCTACAATAGAAGCTTTTGGGTATCTCATCCTAATGTATTTAACACATTGCCGCAAATCCGATGGATCACCAAAACTCTGTAGTTTTGGGGTGGAGAGACGTGTTCCCCCATGCCCTCTTTTATTAAACACCACACATCGATATCCTCGAATGCTCGCCATTTGACATACTCCCGCCATACTTTCCGCACCACCTGTCAGCCCCGGAATTATCAACAAAACAGGACTTGTCTTATTTAATATCCATGGTTTTGACATTGCCCAGTCGAGCGCGACCATTCCCTTGTCCTTCATCATGAAATATTCCCTTGAAAAGTCCACCGACGGCCATGGAAGCAAAGCCGCAAGTATGGTCTGCAAATGGGAGTTGGTTGCCCAGAATGTCGGCACATAAGGCTCCGTGAGAATGGTGCATCTTTTCAACAAGTATTGAGCAAGTGTCGAATCTTTGTAATAAAGCTTCGGTGCTTGGTTTCCACAGATTAACATCTTAAAGTACATGAATATTGTCACAAACGCTGTTGCATATAGAGTCAACGCCAATGGACTTGACTCCGATATATACATAATTGAGCTCCTTAGAAAATACATCATGACAATAGTATTTCTACTTCAAAGATGTAAAACAAATTTGACTTTAACTCCGCTTCTTCAAGCAGTAGAGTCCAGAGTCAGTTCACGTCTCTATAATACTGCAAAAGCACGCTATATGGCTATTGATCGCAATTTAATATTAAGCAAAAAGTGTTTCAATTTTGAATGACAGATAGAAGCACAAATGCCAACCTCAAGACTGATTTAATATCTCAGTCGAAATACATGGTACGGATTCGTTTGTCGAAAGAAGCCAATATAACAAGTTATAGTTAACACTAATCCGATGCCTCAGCGAGACAATCACGTTCGAAATATATCTCCCTATTATTTGTAATTGTCTTTTACTAAAGTTAGAATCTCATCATACGCCAATTTGCAAAATGGTCCAGGCGCTTGGATTACGTGTAGTGTCTGATTCAATGTTTTGCAGTTATTGCACTACTGTCAACACTTTTCAAATCTTGGATAATGAGGTACATTAATCCGGTAGAGGTGCTCTCTTTTGTCCTTTTCAATTCGTCACAACGAGCTTTTGTCGCGTCATAAAATGAGCTTGATTAAGAGAGTATTCCATAAGTCTGTTGAGGAAATGGATACTATGTTCTGCAGAACTATTTGTATCTCGTGAAACTTTAATACAATTACGATTTACAATCAATAAACGTTAATGTCAGTAAGATCAGAACTACATACGGGAATTATATTAATCCACGAATTGTTCATTTTTGTCCCGTGGGCTATCACCACTGAATGGAAATGTAGTCAAATGACTTGCTATCTGTTCTGTATACGTCTAGCGACCGAAATTGTTTCACACTTCGCAAGGAAGAAGTGTTTTTCCAGTACAATTCTCCAAATTCGACAAATAAATATCTAAATGTCCCGATCTCTCTAGTCACGATTCAGTATTGTATTCAATAGCATCATTTGTAGGCTATTATATCTGCAACCAATACTCATTTCCTTGTTCATTTTGACCTCACCGAACGTCAGTTTCCCTTTTATAAGCGGATCCTAAATTAATGACATTTCTAATCATGATAACTTGTGTTTCGAAGGTTGTTTCAATGACACTGAACAACTTGATGTTTCTGCCTCTGTCTCCGCCACACGATAATTACCATTCAATTATAGATGTAATATCGGATCTGGTAAGTTCTGGCATTAATATAAATAATTCTCAACACGCTAGTTTACTTACACTGTGATGTACTGCATTAAGCTAACTCATGTTACATAAAATCCACTGACAAGTTAGTACATTAACGGAAACAAATCCTTAATTCATTCATGTCGTTTGTACGTCAAGTGTTAGTTGGTCGATGATTTGTTTCACACTGGTGGAACCCAACAATCGTAGTTCCGAAAAACTCGTTCGATATTATTCTCCCGGGGCTTCTGTCCTTTGTAAAAGTAATTTGTAATTGTCAGCAGATACACCTAGCAAATAAACTATGGTCATTGACTTGAGGCTCATCACTTTTTGTTCCTCTTGAATGCGATTGTTTTCAGCATTCCCCGTCTGTATTCCCCAACGTCCAAAGGCTGTATAGTTTTTAATTGAAGTCGCTACTCCAACTGATATCGTCTTATTGGTTTACTGTTGTTTCTTTATTATGGTCCTCGGGGAAGTATCCGCATCTTGACAGCGCGCAGACGGTCTTCTGAAATTGATATAGAATAAGAGATAACGTAAAATATATTGAAGGGAATGCGGATGTACAAAATGTCTTAAACTTTAGAATGTTAAGGCCTCCTCACACTTGAACCCCCCCCCCAGAAGTAATCTTGCCTGTACTGGTGAATAGGACTTGTGTTTGTGTGTTCGTATGCGGAAGTATCCTTTCGGAAGCACGGGCAAAGTTGCGCTTCGGTTCGCATGTTTACGATCCAGAACGTAAGTATTGACAATTCCATATACAATTCACCCAATTTGAAAGACTGCATTTAGTGGATTTGTTCATGTGTGAGTAGGCATTGACCAGTAGTCTCCAGTCGCCCATTCGTGAAGCTAAATACGTCGTTAACACTAAACCATCTGTCAATATGACCATAATCCGATTTTGCGAAACCTTTCTTTGATTTTTTTCTAATCTTAATCAAATGGTGAATCGAGATATTCTTTATATGATTTATATCGAATAAAAGTATTAAATACCCTTGGGCGATCTTAACATCTCTTGAATTTCAGCGATCTCAGGTATCAGCCACAATATGAACGCATTATTGGCTTCATTATTTGTCTTCGTTATTGGGAATTCCCCAATTGTACGTGAAATGCTATAAATCAGATGTTAATAAACCGTATGCTCAACGTAATGATGATAGGATACAGTAATACCGAAGACAAATCAATAATTTTATTTACTCTGTTAAATGTTAAAAGCCGAAGCACCATTTAGACATGCTCACATGATGCCCGTCCAGCCCAGCTTGGCTACAATAAAGTAGTTCCGCACTCATCTGAATAATAATTCAAAAATCAAATTTATAAAAAATGCAATATTTTTTAACCATGTATTCTACCATAATTTGTAAATAATAACCATATAAAATTTGATGTTATGCATATTTCCATAGTTATTAGTAATTACAATCACGTAGGCTACTCAAGAATTCTCATAATGTTGATCAGTCTTAATGAAATTAGAGAATAAATTTTGACTTTTTCTTGTAGGCGTTTTAACCAACGTCGAGTCCTCTGACGCACAAAGGTCCAAAAGCCCCAAAGGCACCTATGCATCGTTAATGGACATTATGGACAGATTGAATATAATATTTGATCAGTCGTGATGTAAAGATCACTTGTGATTAACCTCAAATTAATTAGAACTAATGCTGAGCAAAGTATTAGTTTCCTAGTGTTGCCTGACAAGCGGGCATCTACGCTCTTAATCGAGATTTCTTGTTCAAACGTTTCCTTCTTGTTTAACGTGATTCTATCGTGCGCCGTTCGGCTTGGGAACTTTTCCATTACATTTGGCATCCGTTTAATCGACCCACGGCGACAGCATTAATGTAAATTTAAGTATTTTATGATGACATTACATTAACTGTGTAAAACACACTGGGATTTTTGTCGTGTATATAAACGACAGTTTGATTAAATTGAATTGCATAATTCAAAACCCCACATCGATTAAAAGCAACAATATGTCCCAAAAGAATAAATCAATTTAAAAGAGCTACGTATACGCTGACAATATTCTGCTACTATAGAAACTAAAAGGGCGTAATGTGGATATGGAAAGATGAGGCAAATTTAAATAGTCGAGGTCAATGTAAGTAGGCGAGGCAAATACTAGTCTCGGTTTGGAGAACGTTCATCAGTCTACTGTACTTTACGCCTGCTTTGGGTAATTTTGATATTTTTACATATTGTAGATTTAAATGTCTTTAAAACTAAAAACTAAACTCTCTAAATCGAGACTTACGCCAGCTTCGGACAATTTGGATATTTTTACATCTTTTGAGGTTTTTTATTCTCATAGAAAATTATTAGCCCAGGAGACTGTTTTCCAAACCGAGACTTGTCCTTTAAAAAGGTGGGGCAAAATTGAATAGGAAAGGCTTATTCAAACAGGGCAAACAAAACTTAAACCAAAGAAAATAACATACTTTGTACTTCTATTGGGCATCGTTTTAAATACTGGAGAAAAATCATTAAAGATTTCCTTGTAAAAGATTCTGCGAGGCGTTTGCCTCTCTTGCCTCATTTCGTGGTTAGCTACAGCCATGCAGTAAATCAGAGTTTGAGAGGATTCTATCTTAACGCAAGCAAAACAAAAAACAATGTGAATCCCTCATTTACAATAATACGACTCGCATCTATGTAAAAGTAGCACTTGTAACGTATTTTGCCTCCATAAAATAAATGAAAGACAGTAGTTAATGAGTTCAGCTCTTTCATCACAGATCTACGAAAATACAATATACTCAACTACTGTAGCTCTTTATGACTTCTATTTTGTTCCGAGGAGTATTTACCCAACTTTTATGTGACTTTGAAATGGGGAAATGGTTATTATGTTCTGCAAAACATCCTCGTAACACATAAAATCTATCGCACATATGAGAAATGTTTTTCTGTATGTAGCCGATTAAAAGGGAAAAATCGTCCATACACGTGTACAAAGTTGAAGCCAGGCAGTAAGAAAATCTCTTATTATGTCCTGGAAAATATACTTGTATGAAAATGTTACAGCAAAGGAGGAAAATTTAGTCTTACAACGCTGCCCGGCAGTGAAGTCAATCTTCACTTCCAAATTCCCTTCACGAAGTCAATTAAAGAGTATATAATATGTTTCTATATACCTGAGCAATTCAATTAATAATTTAGGGGATTCGGTCTATGAGCCGTTATATGTATGCAAGGCAATGCCCTAGCTCGCAATACACTCAATTATCCATGATGTAAGCAATTTCAGTGTGCACGTATGCAATTATGACTGATACAATTGCGCGACCGTCAACCATTTCAATTTCCTTTTCAAGGTTGTCTGCGGTAACTATCAGGTGATCCACTCTGGGAAGATAACTCCTGTACTTGTACTTAAGTTTCCGGGTTATTATAAGGAAGTGAAAAGAACGCATTATAGTTTTATGTCTACGACTCGTATAATTTCCTATTTATTGCTCGTGCATCAGATTAAAGTATTTGATTAAAGTACCTTGGAGGAATTAAACATAATTTTACTTCTTGAGGTTTCTGTTTATGACCCCCTTATCGATAAACTAGCTTTTGAAGTGTCAAAATAGATGGCCCTCGTTTCAAAGGTTTTCTATTTTGCCGTGTTAAGTAAGACTATAGAATTCAAAAAGTGACAAAATTCAAAACATCCCTATTGTGAGAGCTCTCGTTAAAATGTATATCATGTTATGCCAAAAGTATGTCACGTAAGCCTAAGACATTCCAAAATATTGTGAAATGTGTATCATGTAAGGCTATATGTAAGCCATTTTTATACCACTCTAAGTCCAATTACAGTTGTATAACATGGGTCTATAACAACGATATACAGTGGAGAGTGGTATATCGTCATCGTATACAACTCCTCCGTATACACTCCAGCGTATACCACTGTAGAAGTGCATTCTGGGAAATAATGAATAAAAAAAATCATGATTTCCTAGAATCAAGTGACGTCATAAATCAACATCAGCATTATTGAGTTGGCTGTCAATGGGATATTTTTATTGTTTTTAATTGTTATGATTGTGTTCGAATCAACTGTAATTGAACTTAGAGTGGCATAATAAGATTATATAATGGTTCATTCTGTATATCGTGCATTTTATACTCTCGTGAGAATATAATATATTCACTCGTTCGCTACGCTCACTTGTGAATATATCATATACTCACTCGAGTATAAACACGATATACAGAAAGAACCATTATATAACCTCATAATATACATATAAATGTATATGGTCAAATGTATATCATGTTGGGCTAAGACCTACATCAATATGGTCAAAAGTATATCATATTAGGCTAAGACCTATATCAATATGGTCAAAAGTATATCATGTTAGGCTAAGACCTATATTAAAATGGTCAAAAGAATTATATCATGTTAGGCTAAGACTTATATTAAAATGGTCAAAAGAATATCATGTAAGGCTAGCTTAGATCTATATTAATATGGTCAAAAGCAAGGATATCATGTGAGGCTAAAACCTATATTAATATGGTCAAAAGTGTATCATGTTAGGCTAAGACCTATATTAAAATGGCCAAAAGAATATCATGTAAGGCTGGCTTAGATCTATATTAATATGGTCAAAAGCAAGGATATCAAGTAAGGTTAAGACCTACAATAATATGGTCAAAAGAATATCATGTAAGGCTAGCTTAGATCTATATTAATATGGTCAAAAGCAAGGATATCATGTGAGGCTAAGACCTACAATAATATGGTCAAAAGAATATCACGTAAGGCTAAGACTTATATTAATATGGTCAAGAGAATATCATGTAAGGCTGGCTTAGATCTATATTAATATGGTCAAAAGCAAGGATATCATGTAAGGCTAAGACCTACAATAATATGGTCAAAAGAATATCATGTAAGGCTAAGACCTATATTAATATGGTCAAAATAATATCATGTAAGGCTAAGACCTATATTAATATGGTCAAAAGCAAGGATATCATTTAAAGGGTTCCGATTAGCATCCCGTATAAAAACAATATGGCGGCTCCAGGCGAAAAAACTAGATCAGTTCATTTTTAAGAAATAAGGGGAGTTCTGTGAAATCCAGTTTATTGAAATTGTCTTTGAGATAAAGTAATCCGTTTATAATGATTTTGAAAACGTTATCCAAAGAGTGATTGCGTTCAAAGAATACATGTACAACAGCCAATATAAATCCTTGTATTAGAAACCGGTTTGTCTTGCTTTGTTTCATTTGTAGGATATTTCATATGCCAAGCTGTGTGCTATTACGTTATGGGGAAATTTAGATGCCAATTTTTCCTTATTGTACACAAATAGAAGATCCTGAAACTTCACCCATAAATGTGGAATTGATTTGTCAAAATAAAAATCACCCTTTTATAAATGTGTGACGATCTATAATATACTTATGCTATACAGTGTGTCCCAAAAAAAAGGAAACCAGCAATAGATTGCTTATTTCTCAAATATAAATAATAATAGGAAAATTTCACAGCTACCATCTGATCGGTTATGATGTCCTCTTTCTTATGATACCAAAGTTGTCTATTTTCCTTCACGGATGACTGAGTTATAAAGGATTTAAGTGACCGTGTCAGAAATGAGTTTGTACCACTTTCAGCCAAGTCAATTTCACCATCATAACAAAGTGATAAGTAACAACAAACATCAGGATATCACTCTTTTACTCATTTATTCCAATTAGAATTACACATATCATATTTAACACCCCTTTTAAATCCCAATGTCCATTCAAAGTTGTTTTAACCCCAGTGTCGTTCAACATGACCCCCAAGGCCATTCCTTTCAATGCAAATGTCTGCCATTGATCTCATCGCACGTACTGCATCCCTGATGATGACACTGGGGTTAAAACAACTTTGAATGGACATTGGGATTTAAAAGGGGTGCTAAATATGATATGTGTAATTTTAATTGGAATAAATGAGTATCCTGATGTTTGTTGTTACTGATCACTTTGTTATGATGGTGAAATTGACTTGGCTGAAAGTGGTACAAACTCATTTCTGATATGGTCACTTAAATCCCTTATAACTCAGTCATCCGTGAAGGAAAATAGACAACTTTGGTATCATAAGAAAGAGGACATCATAACCTATCAGATGGTAGCTGTGTAATTTTCCTATCATTATTCATATTTGAGAAATAAGCAATCTATTGCTGGTTTCCTTTTTTTTGGGACACCCTGTATAACAGTTAGAGGTGTTGACACAACGACCTCGAACCTGTGAACCCTTGAGTATTATTCCGGGATTGGGCCTTTTATACTAAACGGTGAGCAACACCAGAAACGAGCGTTCGATTTGCTAAACGATATGCGTCACCCTTTAAGGCTAAAACCTACAATAATATGGTCAAAAGAATATCATGTAAGGCTAAGACCTATATTAATATGGTCAAAATAATATCATGTTAGGCTAAGACCTATATTAATATGGTCAAAAGCAAGGATATCATTTAAGGCTAAAACCTACAATAATATGGTCAAAAGAATATCATGTAAGGCTAAGACCAATATTAATATGGTCAAAAGAATATCATGTAAGGCTAAGACCTATATTAATATGGTCAAAAGAATATCATGTAAAGCTAAGACCTATATTAATATGGTCAAAATAATATCATGTAAGGGTAAGACCTATATTAATATGGTCAAAAGAATATCATGTAAAGCTAAGACCTATATTAATATGGTCAAACGTATATCATGTTAGGCTAAGACCTATATTAATATGGTCAAAAGCAAGGATATCATGTAAGGCTAAGACCTACAATAATATGGTCAAAAGAATATCACGTAAGGCTAAGACCTATATTAACATGGTCAAAAGAATATCATGTAAGGCAAAGACCTATATTAATATGGTCAAAAGAATATCATGTAAGGCTAAGACCTATATTAATATGGTCAAAATAATATCATGTAAGGCTAAGACCTACAATAATATGGTCAAAAGAATATCATGTAAAGCTAAGACCTATATTAATATGGTCAAAAGAATCTCATGTAAGGCTAAGACCTATATTAATATGGTAAAAAGTATATCATGTAAGGCTAAGACTTATATTAATATGGTCAAAAGTATATCATGTAAGGCTGGCTTAGATCTATATTAATATGGTCAAAATAGCATCATGTTAGGCGGTATATTATGTTAGGCTACGACCTATACCAATATGGTAAAAAGTATATATTGTTAGGCTGGCTTAGATCTACATTTATTAAATAAGGTTAAAATTATATCATGTGAAGGGTCTATTGATAGAGTCAAGATGACTTTATGATTTCATGGTTTGACAATATTAATAGAGGTCGTAGTCTGACATGACTTACATTTGGTAACTAATTCCAATTAATAATTCACCAGTCAAATCATACCATGTGCTTTGCTGGGGTAGTATAATCAAAAATATTATAGACCGTGCGGTCAATAATCAAATTATTAATCGAGACGGCAATCAAATGTAAAGATATGTACAGGTATTTAAATCTATGTAATGAAAGTATTTATTTTCCTCGTGAAAAACTGACAAACGATCACCTATGATATAAAATAAACATTTTATGTCGCGATCACCGTGACTTTTTAAAATTCTAAATCTTATCTTCAGAGAAAGTTATTGATTTAATTATCCCCCGCAAATCATGTAACTAGTAACTACAGTGAACATTTTCTACTAAATAACATTGCCAATTATAACATTCCGTTCATCCATGAAGCTTAACTGCTTGGTAATAGCGATAATCTTGTAATATCAATTACAATGTTTCAGACAAGGGCTCGCTGCCTTGCGTAGAATCAAATCTGTATATTATTTATTGGACGAATTCATGATCAAATCATTTGATTTTTAAATTTTAACTATATACACCCGTATGGGTGTCATTTGCCTGTAAACTGAATATTGATGAAACTGATAAATAAAACTACTATGCAAACTTTAAAAAAAACTTTTTAAATATAATAGATGATATAAATGTTATAAATGTTGTGATATGAAATAAAAACAGATCTTTTGTGAACTTCTATCTAATATCACAAGTTATTTATTTTCTTACATATCTCTTTTTTTTATTTTGGTAAGTGATTGTGTCTCATTCATGTCAGAAACCTATCAATCAAAAATAAATCAAATATTTCCAATTTACCATTATGCTCTAAAAAATTAGTGAATGAGATCTTTAAGTATTTTTGCCTGTAAAGGATAAAATGCAATAAACAATTTTGGCGGAAACGACATTGCGTTCCTCAAGAATCCATTTGTAAGATCCCACTTAAACTTGAATAATTTTCATAACTGAAAATTTTAGGACAGTCGTTTTTCATACTGTGAAATATAATACAATATCGGTAAATATCAAGATAGATTATTCCTAAGAATACAATCATACAATATCATGCGATACAATACAATACAATAAAATACGATACAATAATACTATTAAGCATTTGATTAGTGAGTAAACAGAAAATTGTGTCCTTTCCAAAAAGGATTAAGTTTTTGATTTGAACATTTTAATTTTGAACTATCGATTCTATGTTAGAGTAAATCTCGACATACAGATTTGAAAAATAATACATACTTTATTAATTGTATTATCATAATCATATAAATTATCTAATGCATTTTAACAGTAATTTCATCTTATTGTTTTTAATTCGAAAAACATGTTTTCACATGAAGCTTATCGAGTGGATCTATTTAAATTCAGTTGATATCCTTTATGAAAATAAAGGAAAGTGTGTTTTCGTTATATTCAAAAGCTTATATTGGTATTACTAACATAGTTATTTTAGCGTATTACTATGTACGTTAGCTATTTCATAAAGATATAAAGTTCATCGTGTTTTTCACAGAAAATGCCTATCATTGTGCATTATTAAATTCTGGCTCCACAGATACTATAGCTGATTATTGTTATAACAAAGATATATATCCAATATATTTCAAACCATAGCGGTATATTAGAAAAAACTTTAGCTTTGTGTTTACATATCGAATTCCTCGACCTAAAATTGTTTTTACACTTATGCCATTATTGCCATCATTCAATTGTACAATGAAACCAATATCCAATGAACGTGTGTGTAGTCAGTGATAAGTCTAGGGTCTCATTGTGGTTTAAGGTCTTGAAATTGTATCTATTAATAAAAACAATGTGTATAGGTATAGAAAACCACATATAAGTGAGAAGACATTTTTGTTTTATGTAGTATATCGTTAATTTAATTATCAACCGTGTATTAAACGTATTTAAAGTTCTTAAGATATTGAATTTACTATTGTATGTACAATAGGAAATTCAATATCTTAAGAACTTTAACTTCATAAAATATTATATACGACCGTCACCGTGGACCTCACATTGTGTTTTTCACAGCAACTACTCTAAAACTTTGCTTATCCAAGGAATAGTATAATTGATCAGACCCTTTTTATGTATATGTTGCATTTTATGAATTAAGCCTTGGCATTGAAAAGATTGAGAAGTTTATCTGGAATAGCACGAGCCTGTAAAATTGCACTTAAAGTATGTTTAAAGTTGAAGTCCTATGTTCAAAGTGCATACTTTTATATACATGTATACGAGTGTATTCCTTAAGATACAAATGTACAATGTATTCCTTAAGATATGTAACAATTTACTCACAGAAATACAAAATTAAATTTAAGAAATTGTAAGAATTAACTCCGCTGTGAAAGCATGCCTGGCAGAATTATTATGAATAAGATAATATATATATATAAAATAGGTATGAAAAATGAGTTTACTTACGTGTTTAAACATTACGACACGTACACTGTAATCAGCTAGTAAATGCGCTCGTTCAGTAGAAACGTACTTAACATCTATCATCTGTTGAGCTTACTGTCACATTGATTATACTGTCTGTAAGAGTTGTTTTCCCCGATATGCAAATAGTGTGTGTGTTGAAACATACTGTAATATGCAAGTGTAAACGTCAACTAATTCAGGTAAATACTAAAATACCTACTAAGAAGACTATGTAGACTTACAATTACAATTTAGAATGATTGATTCATAGTGTTATACCTCGACGTTAACACTTTCTCCCTCTCTTATAATGTAATATAATATCCGAGGTCAAATGGTTTGTATTTCAAGAGCTATGTTTTTGAAAACATTGACACATGGTTTTATTTATTTGTGTAAAGAACCTTTGTAGCGCTGTGTTGACATATGGTGGCAGAAAATAAGCAATAACATCGAGTCTCGTCTATTTAAGTGGATAGGTATTGCATAAATCGACCGTCATAATAGTTTAATATTTAATCTGATAATATAAATACTTAATACAGTATATGTTTATGACTGCCCGATCAGAGTACAATGTGCGAATCAGGCAAACAATGAAGTTATCTTATTCGATTACATGCAGGGTTGATGAAAGTTCAAGTATAGTCTGCTATATGTTAGTGAACTTACAATAATTTTATTGACCACTACATAGCTGAACAACTTTCAGTTATTAACGTTTTTTCTTTCTTTATATAAATTTCTAGTCTCGTAATAAAATGTCAAAATGTTTATCTTTGGTATAGATGCATCAATCGTACTTGATATCAAGCCCATATTTATTTGTTTATTTCTGTTACCACCTTATATGATGACGAGTAACACATCATGAATACATTTAGTATATTCCGTATTGCTATTATAGAAAAGTCAAATTCCAGAAAAGCAAGACAAATGAGTTTTGCAATACCATAAGCATTTAAAACTATCAGATAACTGAAAACAATTATAGCAATTCGAAGAGTTTTCTAAATAGAAATATTAGAATCACTGTGGCTTACATAAATATATATGTTCATTCAAAATACATATGTTCTTGATTAAAAACATAAATAACCGTTGTTTCATTCCGTAAAACCAATAAAAAATACATAAAAGCTGTCAGCAAATATTTTTTTTATTGAAAATGAACTATTTTAATAAATCATTGTGGTAAACCAAAACGTATAGCGTTCATTTTTAATTTCTTATTTTGAATCTTTATTGCAATTAGTTCTCAAAATTTACCGTATACTGGTCACAATTACTTATTTTGGTGAATACTGTAAATCGATGTGGTGGAGACACATATATTTTTAGGTACGAATATAAACCAGGTATGCCTAGTGTCAAGATCGCACATCGCACATAACCAATAACTTCATGAGTCATATTTTACAGAACGGTAAGACCTAAATTTTATTGTATCATAACTATTTTATAATTGCATATTATATAATAGGATTTTATTTTACTAATGCCCTTTGAGGGTCAAACGTACATCCAACAATTACAATTTCCAATTACTGTAAACATAGTAATAAAGTAAATATATCAAATATATGAATCATTAAACAGTGAAAAAATATGACATGAAAAAACTCATATTTTACAACCATATGCATATCAGTTGTAATAAGGCCCGTGGCGCAACTTAGAAACGGGACTGAAATCATTCAGCGGTCTAGGCACTGAGCATACACACACACTTGAGATACTTAATTAAATAAAACAGTATGTCTTAATCAAGTGATTTGTCAAGATCATTACCACTTGTCAGCTTGTTCCGTAATCTAAAAGAAAATATCCTTTGAACGAATTACCTTTGAAGTTACTAGATCTAGGATTCCCTATCAATAAATGTCGTTCGACAAATCAATTATCGTATCGCTCAGAGAACAACCTGAAGATAAAATCTTAATTTCCTACCTTTCCGATTTTCAACCCGATGTCCTCTCCTAAAGCATCATTCACATTTGCTTCGGCGACCACACTGTCTATCAATTATGCGGCCAGTAACATCGAAGTACGGTCATGGAGCAACGACATTTCAATGCAATATACAGTAGAAAGCTTTTCTTGGGAATGAATTTTCTCTTATTGTTATTCAACAATTATTTAACAATTGACATTTACACTAATAACTTGTATAAATTATAATTTACGGTATCTAATCAAGATCTTTCTGAGACGGGTCTTAGAGCAAGACAATCAAATAGGAAATGTAATTCACCATCTGTTTACCTTTGGAACGACGTAAAAAGAGCGAAAATATAAACAGGTACTGTTTTAGGGAGCTATCGCCAAGGTCCGGAATTTTGGAACTTATGGGGTATAATGTACCTAGAATCTCAGTATGTATGACATACATATGTTATGTACGGTCGGTTTGGGATATGGGTTTATCCCAAGGGGAATATGTGTATATCCCGAGTATATAACCCTTATTTTTACAGTAAAATCTGTATGAACATCTTTTGAGTCTCAATCTCATAGGATATATAGTCGACATATGACTTTGGAGTTCCACAACGAGATAGCTTATCAATGTATTATTTATATATATTATGTTTTATTGATATCAATGGGATATGCTCCGAGAAATTGTGTTAATTAGAAACTAAGAAGTATTCACTCAAGTTACATGTACACTAAGATACACTCCCCTCCATAAGTTTGGCAACCTTTTTTCTCCATTGAACTACGTGTTAAAGCCTCTTTACGTTTGAATTTTTATTTACTTAACCGGCGATGATATAACTTAGAATATTGATGGAAACGTAACTTGACTTTATTTCCAATACCTCCAAATTTTTTCAATTTTTTTCCTCAATTACAATAGGTCGAAAATTGATGATAAATTTGATGACTTTTTGAAAATCGTCATTCCCATGTAATCCAATGGGAAATGGAGGGTTCGGGGCAAATCAGAAATCAGGATATCATTTCAGTAAAAGATTCAGCAAAAAATATTTTTATATAGAAAATTGAATTGTCTAACTTTTTTGAACACTAAATGTTTAGTTTATTTGATGAATATTAAAGTTACAGCGCTTCAAAGTCATTTTTGAAAAGAATTTTTCGCCTCCTGTGTTATTTCAATGGGAGAGGTTTTTTGAAAAATAATTTTGACTTTAAAGCCCTATAACTTTGTTGAACCTGAAGAAACATATCAATTTTTTGTTAAATAAAGTTAGCAAATTCAATTACCTGCTTAACTCGTATTTTTTACAAGGACTCGAATGGATGGATATTCTGTCATATGACTTGCGGCAAACCTACCATTTCCCATTGGTTAACATGGGAATGTCGATTTTCAAAAATTCATCAAATTCATCATCAATTTTCGACCTACTGTAATTGAGAAAAAAAATTGAGAAAATTTGGAGGTATTGGAATTAAAGTCAAATTACGTTTCCATCAATAGTATAAGTATTTTCATCGCAGGTTAAGTAAATAAAAATTCAAAGGTAAAGAGGCTTTAACACGTAGTTCAATGGGGGGAAAAAGGTTGCCAAACTTATGGAGGGGAGTGTAGGTTTTACTGTATATTGGTTTATTATTCTGAAAGTAACAAACCCTTTGTTGTTTCCCAGTAATTTTGCAGATAATACTTTATGCTTTATGCAACATAATTAGCCCAGTTAGCATGAATTTCGTTCCAAATAATCCTACAAAATAGAAAATATTGCCAATCTTGCACGAGTCATTCTTAAATAATAGGAATACGGTATATTTGTTCTCTTTACAAAACGTGTTTCTGACACAAAGGAACCCAATAACATACATAACATCTAGAAATTCCATTTTTCATCATTCCTATAAGGATTAATAAATTCAAATTAATTTTTTATTGCCTGCTTATTAAGTGTATAATTTTCGAGAGTGATACAATTTCTTTGAATTTTACCTAATTCAGCAAACATGAACAATACGCAGTGAGTGGTCTTTAAAGCAACATAAGGCTTTTCGTTTCTATGTTCTATTTACTTTCAAATTGCAGCAACTCTTGCCAAAAGGTTACACAATCTCAAAAGTCATTTAGAAAACAAAATTGATTGTAAAATTGATTGACTAAATTTTGAGGTAAAAAAGCAGACCCATTATGATTTATCAGTGCTTCTCTTTATCTGAAGCCTGTGAGAGACAGTCTGTCTATTCAAATGGATAGTAGCTGTTTCTAAACCGACAATAAATGAGAACATCTTTGGGATTTAAATTTTGGCCAATGCAGCTGCTGCGAATTCAAGTCTCTCGATTTTACGCTTCAATGTGTCTCGTTTTTCTTTCACATTCTGGTCCTCCTCAAGTAAGTTGTCAAGGTCATCTGGACAAGTGGCCAACGCCAGTACCTCCTTTTTTATCTCATTTGAAAGAGTATGAAGGAAATGCAACATAATGTTTAATGGGACCATATCCATGATTCGTCGACTGGCAATCTGAAAAATAAAAAACGTTGACAACTAAAGTAATGTAGGCTCTACTAGTCATCAAAGACTTTTTGATGTCCAAGGGATATGGACCGATTGAAAATATAGGGAAACCCAGAATTTCCATCAGACATCATGTAAACCTAAAGGCTTGTTTTGTTTGAATTTCGCCATCAAATACAATAGTCTGAAGTGGCGTTAAAGAAATCAACAAACAAACAGGTTTTCGGGTTGTCTGTGGTTGCCAAACCTGTGGAGACATGTATAAAATTAATACGCTATTATCAATAATTCTTCATCGAATCCTACAGTTGATGGACTATAGTTACTTGACAACGGATTCATACAGAATCAATTTCTATGTGGAATAAGTTTTACATGGATATACGTCTGTACTCCTAGCGCAACTTTTTGTGCCTCGCTATTCAGTTCAGCGTCGTCAATACTTCTCATCCGGTCGACCTTTTCAATTTTGTTTATTTTCCCCTCAACCTTTTTACTATTTGTGGGTGGTTCTGAGCACCAGGTATCTCTCTTGCCTCCATCTAAAGAGTGAAAGCACAGACTGACAAATGGTCACAATATTTCGGAGCTAAAATGATTTGTGTATTTATGTATAGCATGTTAGTCATAACATGTAACAAATGTGTCGTCACAGTGGATATATTTTAAGAACAATAACATATCCAATGGATATTTTCTGAAAATCATCATTCTTCTTAAATCGTTGCATATAATATATATATGAATTGGTCTCATTTATCATATAGTTAAAAGTTAATACATTTTTTTTATTAAGACTCAATATCTTAGCAATCTTTTTCTTAAATGTTTTGTAACCCTTTTCGTAATTTCCATTTGCTGGCACTTGTTCATACGAAGACAGATAGTCTATGTAGCATATCCATTCTTAAAAGTGTGAGACAATGAGACTTTTTCAGTAAAACGTTGTGAAATAGCTGCTTTAGACATTGGCCTAGAAAATAGAATTCACCCAGTGTCGACAAACGCCTGTGAAAAGGGGTTTTATCAGAACCAATCAAATACCAAATTGATTCTGAAGTATCTGTGAAAGTATTATAGAGTGTGTGTAGAGTTTAAGTATGAGTCGTAAATAGTCATCAAAGGTGACGTAAAGTATCGTAAAAGGAGGTTTAAAAGCTTACTGAACATTTCTTCTTTGAATATTCTATCTTGAGTCCATACAATCTTTTCCATGTCAAACTGCCTGTATACATTTCTCTCGCAGTCTTTATAAGCCTTATTTCCTAGGCGTTCTGTCACTTCCTGAAATGCCACATGCCAAATTTTAATAAAAGCCTCGAGACATAATCATGATGATAAAAATATTTACACAGAAATTTCGCTTTCGCTTATAGTACAGGCTAGGTACATTCCAGTGAGGCCTCTTTCTATGACATACCCCCGCACCCGGTATAACAAGACGTATGTGGTACCATTTTGTTCGGTATGATGTGAAGTTTTCAGAAACCAATTTTGACATTTTCAAATATGGGTCGGATTCCAGATAATAAGCGTAATGTTACATAATTTATTGTTTTCTATGTTTTATATTTTCAAGATTTAAAACAGCTATGGTTAGGTATTTATCAAAGTATAACAACAGATAATGGTGGCAATGCTTTCAGAAAAAAAATTATGGCAAAATTTAAAGAAATTTATAATCAATATGAATCATAATTATGTAATTATTATGTAATAATGTTAAAAAATGTGAAATTAGACGTTGCAAGACACGCTTTAAAGAGAGAATCAGATATAGCGAGCAGGCTAAACAAAAAATTGTTTCAATTTAAGAATATTTTGGGCTTATGTCATTCCCTGTCAAGTCTATTTTCTAAAAATCACAAAAGTGCATACTTTATTCCAGGAAAACTAAAGATTTTTACAATAATGTATTATTTTTCTATAAGAATGGTTACCATTCTCATTATTTGGGAGAATTTAAACATTTTTCACCCATTTTTGCATTTTGAATCATTAATAACTTCACCAATTCACAACATATTGTGAATCTTTTGGGAGATATTGTATTTGATTTTGTAAGGAATAGATTGGTAGGTCAATTATACACGTTGCTTGTAATTTTGTCACCCCCTATAGATCTGATTCTGCCTTTAATGCAATAAACTGGTTTAACTTGAACAAATACAAAAAAATGAATAAAATGATGTGATAGCACAATTCTATTTTCACAATTTGTTAACATAATTAATATGAGGATATAATATTATGTAATATATACACAATATATACATCTATTTGACATACAGTAACCATTTTATCAGAGTCACTATGCAGAACTTATGGCCATCCAGATAGGATGGTCTTGCTGAATGCATTCAACAAAAAGTTATTTGTAGCTAGTTTATTTAATACTTTGTTATCCCACCAAACGGAGTTTGAGGAATATAGAAAAGCCACTCTTCCGTCCGTAAGTGTGTTTAGGTGAATCACGTGATTTTGTTAAGTTTAAAATCTTAAGTTTTTACTTGGTCAATTTCTTAACCAAATTGGAATTTTGCTCGATTCTTTTCTTAATTAACATTAAAGATACATCATTATCATATGCCATTGAGAGGAAAACTAGCCTGGTATCGCATTCCTAAATCCGTACTGGAGAAAGAAACGTAGTAATTTTAAACCATAGTAAACTAAATTTAGTAATTTACCATAATAAACATGCATGTATGTTTTCAGAAAAAATATACTAATATACTGTTGTTGAATAGAGGTAAATTCAAATCATTACTAAAATATAATTTTAATTCAGGTAAAATTATAATTTTTTGGAACGATACTAATTCAGGATGGTTGCAGGGGTTGAACTCTGTAATCATTGAACAAAACATATTGCAACCATTTACACTTCAATGTGAAATGGTTGCAGATTACAATGATTGTAAAGAAACGGTTGCGCAGTCGTTGAAAAATAGTTGACTTCACTTGGTTGAACCCAATGGTTGCACAATGATTGCTTATCATTGTACAATGGTTTTTCCTTTGATCTTAGTAGTTGAAACAATCAGTATTCAATGATTGATAGAAACGGTTTAAATTCAGACTTTCAAGGTTGAATTCTTTATAAGGGATACTTAAATACCGATTGACATATTTGATTCAAATTTTATAGGCTTATGCCTTATGGGTGTAGGACCTCTGCTGGAGAAGGAATTATCAATATGACTCCTCAATTTAAAATGGCACCCTTTTTGTAAAAATACAAAAAATCTCAGTGGTATCGAGAAACCTGGAAATATTGGTTTTATTAGTGGATGCTACAATCGATAACTGATCAAAACGAAGACACTATTGATGGGAAGGGATCAACATTCAACACATCCTATGATAACAATGATAACAAGGAGTCGAACAGAAAAACAACAAGATTTCGCTGGAAGACACAGATATATGTAACTATGAAAACCAAAGGTTGTTGAGTTAAACCAAAAGTGACACCAACACCGAATCCAATTTCATCAAAAGAAAATATAGAAATGATGACAAAGTCCAGTTCCTACCACAGTACAATAAAATCTGACCTGATGTGGAGACTTGTGAGGCATATGAGACAATGAGAAGGCCCAAAAAGGCCATTTACAGGGTGGTAAAAAAACCTTACGCCATTTCCTCATTTCTTTGTCATTTTAAGAACTGATATTTTACACATTTGTACATAATTCAATTTCCTACCAGCCTACTATATTTCATGACCATCAGATTGATAGTCACAATGTTACAGCACTTTAAAGAACATGCCCCAGTGGCCACTATTGTGCTTTCAGTAAACCTGCACATGTAGTCCAAAATGTCCCTACTTGTAGGGGGGATACGGCAAAGATAGAGTGACCTTAGAATGACCTTAGGACAATTGCAGACCTCAAAAGTGAGATCATTCGTGTCATTCAGGCCATATCTGCTGAAGAATGCATTTGGATCATTGACAATTGTGCAGGTTTGACTACAGCGTGATAATGCCCAAACCTGAAGCATGTTGTTTAAAGTGCTGTAAAATTGTGACTATTGGTCTGATGGTCATGAAATATAGTAGGGTTGTATAATAGTGAATGATGTACAAATGTGTGAAATATGAGGGAGTAATGTTTTAAAATGACAAAGATATGAGGAAAATGCAGGGTTTCCATTTTTTGACCACCCTGTACAACAAAGCACAAAAGATTCTATTCAACCATCTCGTGTACAGAATATGGCAATGAGTTGGAAATATGCACTTGACAGCAACCCAAGCCTTATTTCCAGTATAGTGAATCGAGATGGAAAGTGAAGCATGTTTCTGGCTGATGTAAGTTTTGTAAAAATCTGTAAGAAAACCAGGTCTATCAGGGAGGTGGTAAAGTCACATTGTCACACCGCCAGCGACTATGCAGAATCTGTGAGCAATCTGTACATTCAACACAACTCAAAAACCTCATGAAGAATGCCAACCAAAGCGAGTAGAAAATGATGAAGATGATGTGCGCAAGATATGTAGTCTTGTGGGCCCAAATTACTGATGGTTTCTTAGGAATGGTAAAATAAGGCAAATCTTTAACAAAATGTGCAAGTCAGGTGTGCAAAATGCGACAAAAAATAAAAAGTGATGAATCAATCATCTTAGCTGGAAGTTTGAAAAAAAGGCTAATGGCCATAACAGCAACTAGCTCTTACAGTGCAGAGTATATGGAGTACATCCCCAATGTCAAATCTAGACATAGTGCTCACAAAGCAAAGCCCAAACTTTGGAAACCAGAAAGCACTGAATGCTACTTTTTTGATGGAAGTCTGGTTCCTAAGATGATTTTGAGAGCATCTGCCCCCATTGAATTAAGGGATCTTACCAAAATCTATTGTAAAGATGGATTTCGCACTAATCAAGCTTGTAGATGCCTACTTGCAGGATTATTGTGCATGTCTATCTGTTCCTGTGAGGTCGGTAATTGCCAAAACACAATGATGGTTGAGGAAAAACCATATCCAGATGTTTAGAATAAAGATGTTTGAAATAATCACATCTTCATATTATATAATGATTCTATAGAAAGATGTAAGCCCTTATACTGTATGTAAAAACTTGATATTTATCATGTTTAAAATGATCATAACAGTTACCTGATTTTTATATGTATGAATATTTGGATAAGTTACGAAGGCAATTCAAATTGTAATTTTACTTATAAAACAATGGAAATTATGTAATAATTACATAATTCTAAGTCCAAAGTATTTTTGATAATTATCAAAATTTATTTTAAAGTATATACACAATTAATATTTGCTTAGCTCATGATTTTTTTAATCATTTCCTCAAAAAATGCTTTACAAAAAATGCTATGTCATAATAATAGATTACATAACAATATGTCATATTTATCGAATCTGACCCATATTTCAATCTGTCAAAATTGGTTTTTGTAATGTACTCAACAAGACGAACATTTTGATACCCATGACGACTTGTTATACTGGGTGCGGGGGTCAAGTTGATATTTGGCTCATTGGTAGCCTGCACTATTACAGTTTAGTAGCCAAACAATCTGGCTTATAATGTTTTTTAACAAAGCCGCTCATATGTATGTATTGTTATCATTTGATTTATGAAAATAAAGTTATGATAAAAAAGGAGCCAAACAGTCCTGGTGAACCACAGATGGTAGGATTTTAAAGCTTTCCTGTTCATCTTAATCGAATGCAGTGGACTTTTGCAAACATACCTTGACCTTTGACTCTAAAACCGGGAAATTACGGAATATATCCTGTGCCATCCCCCGTAGGATGATCTCAACTTCACCATTTACCGACAGCAGGCATTCCATAGCTGGTCGTTTGTATACAGATATATAATCATTAATCAAACGCTCACATACGGGGTAGGTGTTGGCGAATGTTGGTAGTTCGTTACCCCTTTGGGCTTTGATTTCAGTCTTGATATTATCGAGAAACGATGCATCTTGATCTATAAAGTTAAAACGATTTAATTTGAATGTTACGTCGTATTTTATTACCTGGTTTTCACAAATGAAAGGTTATGAATATTGGAGTTCGAAAACTTTCATTTTATTTAATTCAAAAATGCGCGTCTTTCTCATATCTTTTGAAAGATAATTTTTCTTTCGTCTTCAAATGAGCTTATACATAGTCTGTTATCAAGAAATGATATCGCCAAGATTTAATTGTATCAGAAGTTCAGAACGAATCTGAGAGATGTACCTCTGCCGAGTTCTGTTTTGGTGGCTTACTACATATCTCTCTAGCACGAGGCTAATAATGCATGTCATCCAATGCATTATACAGATCTCTAGATACACGGGTAACTAGAGTATCCTCGTATATTGAGTATGACCGGTTCTTAGGCTACGAATATGACCTGTTTTGGAAAGTCATGAGAGGCACAGCTGCTTAAAAATGGAAAATAAAGGTTAACTTCTATATTATCCTTTTTGAAATTGTGTTTGTTGAATATAGTTTATGCTGTATTTAATAGTAATGTAACAAAAAAATGTTAAACATGAGCTATTTTAGCAATGTAACTGTTCATAATGGAATATCAATCAGAAAGTACAGATTTCTCGCCTTAAAGCCAAACCATTAATATCACAGTAGAAAAAAACAAATCCCAAACCTTTTTATGGCTAACCTGAACAAGATCTCCAAATCTCAGTTTATATGATCCCCCGTAGAGTGAGCAAGAGAAGGATTTATCTTTTCCCAGAGGATACGCTTGTGAAATGTCATGGAAATGAGTGTAACACGGCCCACTGATTGTTTCACAATCGTATTCTCCAATAATGGGGCACCAGTGACATTCGTATTCTCAAAAATTCAAAGATGTATCATATTTGGACAGAGCAGGCTAAATTATTTAAAATATTCATGACTAATTCGTAGATCTAGCTATATATTATACATAAGATGTGTCATCCTCTTCGGAGTTGCGTTGTGTTACACAAAAACTGATCAAAGATGCTGGAAACTAGGATTTTACGGCTTCAATCTAATATTAATACGCTTTCTCTTGATTAAGGCCCCTTGTGATATGCCTGGCATTATAAGTATACCAAGTATCATTCATTGACCAAGTAGGATAAAAAGAAAACGTTCGAAAGTGTTCATAAAAAGCAACTACTCACCTCGTCTGTTTATAGGAACAGAAATACGGTCACACTCGTAAGCTTAGAACCGGTCATACTCAATATACGCGGATACTCTAGTATCCCGTGTAGATACATACACTTATAAACAACTATTATAAATTTATAATACAAAAAAAAAACTTGCCTGTAGGGGTTCTCTCTTCAATATCAGTTGCGAATTTATCAGTGAGTTCTCTAACTTTGGAAAACAATCGAATCTTTTTCTTATGGTGTCTGTAGTCACCTATTGACACTCTTTGGAGCTTATCACAATACTCGTCCAATAGCTGAAACATTTATTGTCATTCCATTCGGAAAGATTCTAAGAGTTTAATGAATTCAATCATCTACGCAATAAGTTTAATAGCTGTAATAAAATATAAAGCAGAAATGGGGGGAGGGGAAGTATTTGATATAGTTTAGGACCTGAAAACAAGGGATTCCAAAGGAATTTTCAAACGGGGGCGAATCATTAAAATAAATAATACCATGGGTACTGTGCTCACATTGTGTCGTGATTTCAGTCTAAATGGCAGCCATGTTGACTTGGAAACCTCATTGGTACAGTATAACATATGAGAACATAAATGTATCTGTCCATTTCTATACTTAGTGAGCAATGATCCCTGAACTTGGCTTCAAAATAGTCTTTTTTCCAACAAATACGATGGCTGTTTTTGTGTGATTCCAAGTATTCTTGTACACATCTCAATTGTATTACATAAGATTACATATTTAGTAATTTCAATGCAAATTAAAGCAACGATACCTTGCTTAAAATTATACATGTTACTTTTTTCGTAGAAAAGTATGACAAGAATGTTATTGCTAAAAAATTGCCAGCAGCACAATGACGGTATTTTCTCATTTTTCTAAGAATCTTTTCGAAACTTTAAAATCTCATTGATACTACAAAAAAAATTATACTTGGAGATTCTGATGCAAATCAAAACAATTATCTCTTAGTTATGGCTCTAAGAAATTTTGCAACAAAAGAAAAATTTTTATCAATAGATAAAAAAAAAAAAGGCTCAAAATGTGGATGCAGTCCCACCCCTCTTTCCCATCCCCCTTGGAGGTCCATGTGGAGTGTAGCATTGTTTTTACACAAAGACCTATAACTTGGTTCTGGGATCCGTACAAGTAATAAAGTCTAATATCTAATTTGCGTGTGGTTTTCAAACAAGAAATATACAGTTCACAAGGAAATATAGTACAAGGTTTGGATTAGGTCTATTACAAGAATCATACACGAAAATTCAAGTATCTGAAATACACAGGGTTTTATTTTATATATATCTATAAAAGTCGTCTCGCGTATTTGAATGTAATTTTTCTCACCTGAATGAGGTATCTGACCCTTTCTTTTGCATCAATTGGGAGACCAATCCCTCCAAGAAACTTAATTTCGTGGTTTGCAGTCATAAGTTTTGCATTGATCTCTTCAAGAAGCATCGGAATGCAGTTCTGCAATATGATTCGTAGTCTCAATAGTGTATTAATGTGATTCTAGTATAACCATTTTGAAAAAATGCCCCTGACCTCGCTACACAAAACTACATTTTATTTAGATTAAAGGTTCGTACTTTTTCATTCTTATCATTTTCATGTTCTATCCAAAAGTTGATTTTCTACTTTTCCTCACTAATGTCGTGGTCACATTTGCTCTGATTTTTACTACGGCGCCCGGCCGATTGAGTATTTTGTTCAATATTATGTATTCAATTTTGAACAGAATACTCATTTGCCGGGCGCCGGTGCTGAAAATCGGTGCAAATGTGACCACGGCATGAACCTAATGCATTAACGTTGGTATTACAGACAACTTAAAGAAAAACTTCAAATTCATGTGTTGATGATGTTGCTTAAAGTTGGTGAACAAATAGATGAAATAAAAGTGTTTTAATGAAAATTACCTTGATAATGAGGTAAAGTTCGTGTGTCAGTTTTGATGACAATTGTTTGATTCCACATTGCATCGGATTAATGACCCTGAAAGAAAAATATGAACATTACGTAAAAGAAAACTTTTATCAAGAATTTTTTACTATTGCTACAATTGCAGATTACAAACTTATCTGATAATTTCCAGCAAACCTGAATCTCTCATTAGTACGGAAGAATTGAACTTCTTCAGCAAGGGCTTGTTCTAAACTTTGGCCTTCTTCTATTCGTTTCTGACTGCGACATTTAACCACATAGAACCCCTTCTTTAGCTTCATTTTCTTGTTCTCGAGGATGTCTAGCACCTCTTTGATTGGTCCTACCCCGTGATCTATCAAGTCAGGTCGTGTCAGAACACCTACGACAATCAAGGGTTCCTTTATCATGTTGATTGATTACATTTCAAACGCCCCAAATACGCAAGAGAAATGTTCTTACCTATTGTTCTATCGCCATTTGGGTCAACCTGCTTGGCCAAGTTACACGCTTCCACCGTATCTATATCGACATTACAAGGTATCAATACTAAGATAATTGTCTCAGGCCTCGATATATATGACGTAATGAGCTTTCTTGTCTAAAATTGCAATTTGAAAGACAATTCAAGAATGTTTAAGGTAAATTAAGGTATTGAATTCTTAAATAAGTCAAATTAAGACATTATGATAGGATAATAGTGTAAATCGAAATACCATATACACATAACAGTGAAGAAATTCGAATTACTTTAAATTAAATCAAATGATCAAGAACATTATATGCGCATTTTCCGAGTAACATGTATACCGTTTTATGCCATACTGTACTGCACATTGTGATATGTGACGATACTCACCTCCTGAACAACAGTATCATTGCCTTCGGAAAATCTAACGATGCCAGGTAGGTCTATCAAGGTTAGATCAGGTACATTGTGCGCCTCCACTTGGAGGCGGATTAACCTGTTGCTAACGCCCCTTGAGTCGCCTGCTAACACCCTCTGAGCTAAAACAGGCATAAGGTATTAATGAGCCTGCTACTATTATTAAAGTATATAGTATCCACCGTCTTCTACTCCTCTTTTTCCCCTTCACGTAATCTTTTCTCCTACGATTTTCCCTTCCGTCTGACTTCCAACTGATCTTATACATCTCCTTTCATTTTGTCCTTGTCCATCCCTCCGATCCTTATATTATCATTACTTTTGACTATCTATTGTAGTATTAATGTGTAATCTTTCAGTTGTTTGTGGTGCAATGCGAGGGATTGTTTAGTCAAAACACGTTTCTATTTCTTTATATTGAAGTTTGACATGAAGTAAAATGTAACGCGGAATATGGCATGTATTCATGGTCGTGTGGTATTTGTGATACATGTGGAAATTCCGCAATGAATATGCGATACATTGATTTAAGTGACAACCTAATCCTCACCTGCGGAATATGTCATATTTACCTGCGGAATATGCCATATACCTCAGGTGAATATGACATATACCGCAGCCTCGATTTGATTGGAAGACGTGTATGAATTATTATAATAATGATGTATTGAATATAATGCGTATTGAATATGGTATTGTGTAATTAGAGGTTATGTCACTATCTTGGCATATATGCCCGTGGTCTCAGTGATATATGGCCCGACCTTGGGAGGGACATTGATCTCTGAGAACCGAGGGCATATGTGCCACGATAGTGACATAAACGATTTATAACATACCTATGATGATGTAGACTGGTCAGAGAGTACCGTTTTCTTATAGAATTGACAAACAAATGGTTTGAAAATGATTGACATGAGTTTAGAAAAATTGCTCGCGCAGTTTTATCTTCGATTGATTGGTTATGACGTCAGCGCCTTGACCAATCAGAAAGTTAGCGGGCGCGGGCTTTTCAAAACTTATATTGGCCCGCTGTCTTGTGTACACTTTGTACTATACATCATCATAGGTATGTTATAATCATTGTTATATTACCTTCCCTGATTTCAAAATCAATATTTGACGGGTCTGTGATTGTTTTTTCCAGGGGCTGATGTCCTCCCTGTATATCGTATAAAATCTTGGCGTTGAAGTTTTCGGTGTCACATTGTTTCATTCTTAGCTCAAGGGGGCATCGAGTCACTATCCCTGTTAAAGAGTAATACAAATCGATGAAAGTTAGGGACTCTGCCAAGTTACATATGCCATTATGACTCCAATTTTGCAATTACTCAAACACTTTTTCCGGAGCTATTTTATTGGATCTAGGAAAACTTACTTTTTCCCTTGAAATGTAGGTTTGCTAAGGTTTTATAAAACGGCGTTCTAGTATACAAATAAATTAAAATGTTCTCATAGCCATATGAATTTATATCAAGAAATAATGCCATGACTCGACTCTCAGTCAATTAAACAGTTAGCTATATACAGAGTGTCCCAAACATGAATAAGAAAGGAATTGCTCTTAGGAGAAAGAAGGAATGGTCATTTCACTAAGATTAAATAGAGTAAGCTAGTGAAACTTAATGAAACTTTCAGATCCTTAATAAAAGTGAATTGTCTGTCAGATGATTAAATGTTCCCATGTTTATCCGGTTATAACTTTTTGGGACCGTACATGGATACTTGTATTGCCCCGGATTATACTAGCATTCACGAAATACTTGGAATTTAATCTTTTAGCCTTAATAGATTCACCTGAATTTGTAATAATACTATCACTACTTATTATTCCTCTTAATCGGAAAGTTGGACAGCAAGTTAAGCAACTCCCTAAGTCGTTATAGGGTGAACTTTGACATTTGAGCTGTATTTCTGTAGTGATACGACACTATCACAAATTCACCTTTTTTGGGGGGAGTCACATTATACAGAAAATGTTGGTATGTCCCTTTAAGTCAAATCAGTTGGTATTTGCATAAATCATATGAAACGTATTCCAATTAATCATTTTTTGAAAACACTCTAAGCCTGTAATCAATTTGTGTTTTCTAGTGTTAAGTGTCCTACTTAACTGTAACTCTCTAAATACTTTTAAAACATGAATAACCCATGTGCAATGAGGAAATAAAATGGCCTGATGCCACAGGGACAACCCGTCCTGAATTGCATGTCATATTTATCAGATCTGTTTAAAGTTATCATTTCTACGAATAGCCTACACTTCTAGCCTGTAGCAGAGACAATATTCTAGAAGTTCTAGGTAATACCGAAAGTATATTTCTTATTCCGAGTAAATGTATAGGAGAAGGATATAATTATCAACCTGTTCCTCTCGGTAGTTGTACCCCAGACATAGCCTCCAGAACCGAGCTTTTCCCTACACTCTGATCACCAATGACTACAACAGCAGGAAGGGCAACGTCCTTCTCCAAGCCATACTGTCTTAAGTCATCTATGGCATCAATACATGGACGAACCTTCCTGTTAAACTCATCAGCTAGCACTGCCTTGTCATCTTGGGTGTTAGTAGATGATGTCATATTCAAAGTAAGCTTTCTTAATTTCTGTTGTCTCGGAAGTATGACCTGTAAAGGGATATTTGTATATTGCTAAGAGTATATGGCTAAGAATATTCTTAAATTAATATGGAAACATGCGGGATATCAACCGATCCAATGTGCATATTATTATATGCTCCAATTAGGGTCGTCCGCGTTCAATACAAGTGTACAACAAATACTTGCACCAATGCACTGTTGAACATAGGATAGGGGAGGTCCCTTAGAACTAAAACGATGGCGAAATTAATGATATGGGGTAATTGTTATGTTAAAAAACTCATTACTATCCTTATTCGACACATATTTCGGTATTTATCAGCTAAGTATAAGACATTTTATAGATTTATAGGTGATTATGAAAGGCTAAGGGTATATAAACTTAAAATTTGAATTGAGGTGTATTGTTATCTATTTTATCTGTTGTTAATTTTCCGCATTTGGATAGTAATATTTCACCGAAATCAGCATATGGGGTTATGTATTCCAGCTTATTAGATGTAGCAAGGAGTGTTCAAATATATAGATTTTAAATCAAGACACCATATTTTAGTGAGATCAAATTGTTAGGCCAAGAATATACTTGTTAAAACATAAGAACTCCTTTCTGGGCTTCGCTGAAATAATGTAGATCTTTAATTACGAAATTTCAAGCTTTACCACTAGAGATGCTGAATGATGTTGGAATTTAATTTAACTCAAAATGTTTTCACTCTGCACCTTTTAAGATGAATCCCGGTGTGAAAGAAATTATGGTCCCCCATGGATTATGGTCCCCCTTTTTAAAGCCCCTTACTGGCCCTGATTGTGTATAAGATAATAAGGGAAAGAGGTCATCATATAAATCAATGGAGAGCAGGACCATAAATTAATGGGACATTCTACCCTTTTACACCGGTTTTGGTATTAATGGTTCAGATATAGGGATAGGAATAGGGATCCGAACTAACATTCTCCTGATGAATATTTTGAAATATTGTGTTTTATGGATTATGGCGAGACCTTTGCGAATGGATGTTGACCCTTTTAATCACCGATGGACTTTGATACTGAATTTCGTCTATCCCACATCATTTGAATACTAATATATACAATTATTTATGATGTAATGAGTATTCGCTTTAAATGTTTCCAAAATTTCTTCAACATGTAAAGTAATGACTTCAGTATAAAGTATCTTTATTTTTGGGCAAATTGTAGACTATTTATTATAAAAAAAATCATTTCCTTCATTATCACGGCATAATCGCCCAAAAAGGGGCATTTCTACTGCCACTTAAATGTTAAAAAAGCTATCCCTTACATAATCATAGCATAGGTATATATATATTGAAATTGTTTAAAGTAAACACTTGTATTTATAAATGTTTAGTTTGTTAGATAATAAAGCAAACAAAAATAATGAAATTAGCACCATGCTTTTTCACGTAGAGTATATTATTAATAGAGGATTAGTAGAGACTCACCTATTCATATTCTGCATTCCTTCACAATTGATGAACGGTATCGGGTCTGTCCATGTTAACTAGATTTTAAAACGAGCATTTCAATCAACATACGAGGGATGATTCAACATTAACGAATAATACTACTTTATACTATCGCAAACAATGTAACTTTTATCCAATCTACGATCACAACTTTTAAATATCTTTAACATGTGGTCCCAAATGGGATTTTCAGCAATACTTGAGGAACTGCTAGTGTGCTTGGAAAAACACTTTCATTGCCAGCATTTTAGCTGTTTTGAACGAATATTTAAGGTCCACGGGAGTTTGAGTCACGTGGTCTTTCATCTTTTTAAGGATGGTAAAATACATAAAGGCAGTATGACAGGGTGCGTCATATTCAAATGCATGATCACACATACATATAAGGGGTACCTGCAAATAATTCACTGACTATGTGAGTAATTGCCAACAAGTTCTAGAAATACAGAAAAATGTTTAACTCGCAGCCTACTGATTTCGCGAGTTCCGTTTTATTCTGAAAACTATTTTCGTGTAATTTATTCTAGAAATCTAAATTCGTTAGGAATCATCAAACATCGATAAAAAGGTAATATCTATTCATGTCAAAAACCGTTGTACTTGTGAATGACCCCTCGTAGTATATTCTATTTTTCAATAAATCCATGAACACATTTTAAACACTGCGTTAATTACGTAGGTACTTGAACTGTTATTCGATTTATCATATGATATCATAACATATCACATCAATACCAAGTGTTGAAAACAGTGTACGGGCCGGTGTAAATTTAGTGACTTCCATGACATATCGTTATTATAAGAGCAGTTTATTTGTTCATGACTTAATTTATAAGGAGAAGTTGAAATTACAGAGAAGTATCGAGGTCATCGCACTATGTCGAATCATTCGCACTATAAAAAGGAAAATTAACAAAAAACATAGATTATGAGATATATTAAATTATAACAAATGGATTATGAGATAATCCTCTTCTTATTTTGTTATTTTTTTCTTTTCGAAGATCAATTATGTAATATGACCTAAAACTTTTTTTTGGACATAAACCATATCAAAAAATGTTGCTTTTGGGCCAAATATTTGACCTCAAATTTCCATTGTTTTCGGATTATTCTAATCCCAAGGGGTCTCACTTTCCTTTTCAGAGGTAAATCATGACTTATAGTACATTTCAATTTAGTAGTAAAAATTGAAATAAAATGTTGCATTTTGGTACTATATACCCGGGAGTTATCTCGTACCAAGACCATCTCTTCGTTCGTACATTGTTATGATTAGTTAGACACCAATAGCTTGTTAATTAATAATATGAGTGAGGAAAATAATAGTTAATAATAAAACATACATGTATATTTATGTAATAAATCAATTTTAATGTAAGCGACATATTTTATAATTAGTAATTGCAATTTGCGCATGCGTTTCTCTAGTTCATATTGTACGTGTAGCAAGGATAGGAGTGGACAGCTTTAAAGGGTGACGCATATCGTTTAGCAAATCGAACGCTCGTTTCTGGTGTTGCTCACCGTTTAGTATAAAAGGCCCGATCCCGGAATAATACTCAAGGGTTCACAGGCTCGAGGTCGTTGTGTCAACACCTCTAACTGTTATACGGCATAAGTATATTATAGATCGTCACCTATTTATAAAACGGTGATTTTTATTTTGACAAATCAATTCCACATTTATGGGTGAAGTTTCAGGATCTTCTATTTGTGTATAATAAGGAAAAATTGACATCTAAATTTACCCATAACGTAATAGCACACAGCTTGGTATATGAAATTCCTACAAATGAAACAAAGCAGTTCTAATACAAGGATTTATATTGGCTGTTGTACATATTCTTTGAACGCAATCACTCTATGGATAATGTTTTCAAAATCATTATAAACGGATTACTTTATCTCAAAGACAATTTCAATAAACTGGATTTTACAGAACTCCCCTTATTTCTTAAAAATGGACTGATCCAGTCGATTCGCCTGGAGCCGCCATATTGTTTTTATACGGGATGCTTATCGGAACCCTTTAAACACCCCCTCCCATCCCGTATCTTTTTAGTATCCATTTAGCCCAACACATGTTGTCTTGTTATGGTTTTAGAAGCATTACATGACATTAATTTATATCTACCCATATGAATACCTGTGACACTTTCACAAGATGAAATTCCAATCGAATTAAATATTTGTATAATTTTACTTTCTAGAAATCTCTAAAAACACAACATCACACTGCATTTTGTGATAAATATGTCATGGTGATTAAAAGATGATGGCACGGTGGAATAAATCATATTTACAATATTAAGCACTCTATACAATTGCTTCTATTACATACAATCAATATATACAAAGATACAAAATGCTACAATAATTTATATGGTAAAATATTCATATATGTATGAGTTCCCTTCAAAAGGGGCATTTGCAGAGAAGCCGTATGTACGAGTATATGTTTAATGAATTGGTCTTCATTTCAGACGTTGTTCACCGAGACACGTATTACTGTTTCACAAATATTCCAGAAGCAACGACCCTTTCAGCTGCTCTATATGCAGAAATCTCGATTTATATGTCCAGGTCCTCTGATCATATCAGAAATATTCCTTAACAACCCTTTAAAATAGTTTCCCTATTATATTTTGTTCTTTTAAATTTTGGCCAATGCAGCTGCTGCGAATTCAAGTCTTTCAATTTTACGCTTCAGTGTCTCTCGTTTTTCTTTCACGTTCTGGTCTTCCTCAAGTAAATGATCCAGATCATCTGGACAAGTTGATAACGCCAGTACCTCCTTTTTGGTCTCATTTGAAAGACCATGAAGGAAATGTAACATAATGTTCAATGGGATCATATCCATGATTCGTCGACTAGCAATCTAAAAATAAACAATGTAATTTGTTAAACAAAAGTGTTTACATTATGCTTGTATATGCGTAAAACACCTTTAGGAAATATGGTATTACGTTATCTTGCACACATTTTAGGATTAAATGAACCTGTAGCTTGTCAGTTGTGTTAAGATGAGTGACCAAATGAGAATGAACATTACAAAATTTGTACCTGCATGTACGCCTGAACTCCTAGCACAACTTTTTGTGCCTCGCTACTTAGTTCAGTATCATCGATGCTTTTCATCCGGTCTTTTTCACTCTTGCTCCCTTTCCCCTCAGTTGCCCTACTACTCGTTGGTGGCACTTTGCTCGAGGCATCCTTCTTGCCACCATCTTAAGTCAGAACATGTAAAAAGATGTATAAAATATATCCAAGAATAAATTTTTGTCCCTTTCTTCCCGTCGATATTTTTCATCTCTATAAATATTTAACTAGCGCTATTTTTATGTAATACTAGTCATTCAAAGTCAATTCAAATAATAGTAGTCATTCAAAGTGACATGCTTTATCGTAAATGCGTCAAAACTTACCGAACATTTCTTCTTTGAAAATTCTGTCTTGTGTCCAAACAATATTCTCCATGTCAAATTGTCTGTATACATTTCTCTCGCAGTCTTTGTAAGCCTTATTTCTGAGACGATCCGTCACTTCCTGAAGAGTCAAAGAATATATAAATGTATTTGTTTACAATAAAAATATATCATACAAGAGGGTTGTATATGATTGGGTTTCATGATGTGAAAAGTTATGTATTTTCTCAACATTTGTCATCCAATCGCATGAAATGAATACAATTTTTATCATAACGTGTTTATTCAATGATATTGATATATTTATAGAGGATCATACTATCTATTTATGCAACAAAACTTTAAAGTTTTGATAAATATAGCAGAAGCTGTTCTTATTAGTTTGCAAAATTATAAACTCTTATTGTATTGAGGAATATTTAGCAATATGATACTAGCAGGACAAGTTATATAATCCTTACAAAGTCTCATAATCAGATTAGTATTTAATAAGTCAACATATCATTTGTGGGTCATAAACACAATGACGACAAATCACTGTCAAGGACTCCCAGTGGTTAAGAAAAAGTCAAGACCCACTACAAAGAGATGGCCAGAGATACTTCATAGTACGGAAACATTGTAACTGTGTTCGATCATTGAATTAACGCGTATACATACATGAAACATACCTTTACTTTCGATTCTAAAAATGGAAAATCACGGAATATATCTTGTGCCAGCTCCCTTAGAATTATCTCTACTTCACCATTTACTGACAGTAGGCACTCCATTGCTGGTCGTTTATATAGGGATATATACTCCAGGATCAAACGCTCGCATACTGGGTACGTGTTGGTGAAAGTGGGGAGTTCGTTACCCCTTTGAGCTTGGATTTCAGTTTTGATGTTATCCAGAAATGATGCATCTTGATCTGAAAGTTAAAAAAATATTTGTTAATAATCTCTCGGGATTGACTGTATGTGCAATACCTCCCTAGGTATCAGTATAACAGTGTGTCATACAGTATGTCAACATTGCATAATTGTATTGTTTCATTATAAACTATAATGTAAGTATATATTTTTGCATCTAATAAGACAGTTACATGATTGTGATTTATTGTAACATTGAACAGTTACTCGCCTGTTGGGGTCCTTTCTTCAATATCAGTTGCGAATTTATCAGTGAGTTCTCTAACTTTGGAAAACAACCGGATCTTTTTGTTATGGTGTCTGTAGTCACCTATTGACACTCTGTGAACCTTGTCGCAATACTCGTCCAGTAGCTGAAATGTATATACCAATGTATATATATATATTTTAAAATTGTTAGGTGAATACACAAGGCTTGTGTACTAGGATAATTTGGATACAGAGTCTATGTTTGGGGAAATATGTGTATTCAACAAGGACTGAGGAAATACACATATTATAAGTCATAATATAAATAACATAATATAAGTGCTTTCTTTTATATGTAGTCTAGATGTCATTTTAAAAATTTCTGTTAAACCGCAACATATACCAACTAGGGTGTCCAGCGGCTTGTTTTTATAGTGTATATTATATAAGAATTATGAAATAAATAAATTGAATTGAATTGAAATATTTCCTCTGGATGAACCCTGTATCTTAAACGGATGGAAAGGATATGACTTGAGCAATCTATATATTTATAGATGTCATCATTTGTTTCTCACCTGTATAAGGTATCTAACCCTCAGATTAGCACCTTCAGGGAGACCAAGCCCTCCAAGAAATTCGATTTCATGGTTTGTAGCTAGGAGTTTTGCATTGATGTCTTCAAGGAGCATGGGAACACAATTCTGGAATTTAAATGTCCCATGCATTTTAGCGTCGTTTTGAATATACTTGCCGTCAATATACATATAAAGATGACTTCAGAATACTGCACCTAATTCAACATAACCCGTGTGTACCTCATATATGCTCTCTCCTAATACCCTTTCCCCTTCTCAACATCAGAGTCTTGTCAAAAATGCGTGTGATAAAAAGGCGCACGTTTTAAAGGCTGTGTGGCGTTTCCAACGTACATATACACATATACAACATACTTCCGGAATAATAAATAGATTTGAATCTTATTGGTTTATATTGTCAGTTATCTAATACCGGAAATGAGGAAGTAGTTAATTTGCGTTCCTTGTATTCTGTTTGTCATAACATTGCATACTTTTGCCATTTTCAACATTGGACTATTGATAGACTGGCTGGCGATGAAGAAATTTTGTTTCAATACATATTTCCCTTTACTAGCTGGTCTAAATAACTTTCCTATGATATTATACTTCATTGAATGTATTATTGATTTAAATTAGATTTAGATAACAAATACAAATAGGTAAAAGGGATTCAAATGAAAAGGTAAAGGATATAATAAAAAAATCATCTGTGTTGATTACCTTTATATGAAGGAAAAGCTCATTGGTCAGTTTTGATGACAACTGTTTCACTCCACATTGACTTGGATTGATTACCCTAAAACGAGAATGAATTCAGTAAATTATTTAAAGCATAATTTCAGTTTATTGCAAATTGATTGTTTTGAAAAGAAAGCAATGCCCAGCAACTTAAATTATGTTGATGCAAACTGACATACCTGAATCTTTCATCAGAACGGAAGAATTGAACTTCTTCAGCAAGGGCTTGTTCTAAACTTTGGCCTTCTTCTATTCGTTTCTGACTGCGACATTTAACCACATAAAAACCCTTCTTTAGCTTCATTTTCTTGTTCTCGAGGATGTCTAGCACCTCTTTGATTGGTCCTACCCCGTGATCTATCAAGTCAGGTCGAGTCAAAACACCTACAGCAAAAAGAGATTATCATTTCCATAAAGTAAAGGAAATATGGCAGAATATCGTAACCAAGAACCTAAATCTCTGAAACCCTGAACCACATGATCTTGAAACAACAGACACATTACCATTGAAAAATATTAAACACTAGCCCTCATGACAAACAAGCAAATCGTTCTTACCAATTGTTCTATCGCCATTTGGGTCAACCTGCTTGGCAAGATTACACGCCTCCACCGTGTCTATATCAACATTACAGGGTATCACCACTAGAATGATTGTCTCTGGCCTAGATACATATGTCTTGATGAGATTTTTAGTCTAAAATTGCAAATAAATTCTATACACAGTAACAAGACATTAAAAGTCAGTATTGCATCCAATCTGTGTTATCAAACATATATGAGAGATTTATGTTAAGTACAGCTTGGAAGTTATTTAAGGTTATTTGGGACACCATCTACCATATGGAAATGAAAACTCTGTGATACGGTAGGAGAAGGATACAGTAACTACCTCTTCAACGATAGTATCGCTACCCTCTGAGTATCTGACAATGCCAGGTAGATCTATCAGGGTTAGGTCGGGCACATAGTCAGCCTGAACTTCGAGACGGATCAGTCTGTCGCTTACACCCCCCGAGTCTCCAACCAACGCTCTCTGAGCTGAAACGGACAAATATATTTACTAATCTACAGTGTTTTAATTCATTGATAAGATGTCAAATAATTATATATTACAGTACTAATATAGTACGACATCTATACATTTATAAAGAAAGATAACAGATAGGACCAAAATCTAGCCGGGCCATGTGCCCGACCCGAGAATTTCCGTCATAACTATTTCAGCACTGAACTAAACAAAAGACAAATATGGCAGGCGAACGGAGTGAGCAAAATTAGAGATTCAAAACAAATAATATGGGTGAATTATTTTTATACTTTTGCAATGGATTTTATATTTTGAGAAGTACGCATCAAATACTTTAAAATAATTGCATATTATATATTGCAAGTTAAAACATCAGTATATGGGATAAATGCTTATTATTTCAAACCTAGGTATCGGATACAACAGTTATGCACAGTGATCACCAAGGTCCCAAACCGGCCATGAGGGTTATTTCCCTCTTGATAAACCCTGTTTCCGAAACCTCCCGCAGAATACAACCCTCATTTATACATCATTTTCCTCGAGATAACTCTGCACGACCCTATACTTAACACAATTAGATTACATACTTTGATGAGTACAATAATCTAAAACGTGCTCATAAAAAATGTTTCCTCGTTTTTTTCAAGATTACATCAAAATGATGAACAAAAAATATGTTCAAATTGCTCTCCATAACAGATCTAATCTCATGTCCTCATTTCTCATAGCATTTTATTCTCACTTGAATGAGAATACTGGGACGATGTGGATGATCGAGGTGGATCATATAATGTATATTTAATCAAATTTATACTCGGAACAACCTTTATATTACCTTGTCTAATTTCAAAATCAATATTTGAAGGGTCAGTGATTGTTTTTTCCAGTGGCTGGTGTCCTCCCTGTATGTCATATGATATCTTAGCGTGAAAATTACCGGGGTCACATTGTTTCATCCTTAGCTCAAGGGGGCATCTGGTCACTATTCCTGTAAAGGGAAAATAATAGAATTGATATTTCAAAGGTTCATACTCAATCCCCACGCCTAGCCATCGACAACGTACAGTGACAAAACACGCCGTCGTACACAGATGTTCAGCGTCACTATTAACCGATTTGAAAAAGACAATGATGTAGATTTGATGTAGGTTTTAAAAAAAGTATCTGAGCAAAACATTAAGGATTTCAAGTTTGATTCCGTGTGTATTAGTTTTGGAAGATATTTAAATTTCTAGTAACGTTAAAATATTTTCAAACAGTGCTCGAAATTTCGTGGTTAATCTTATACCCATATGATTAGTCTGTTGAAAAAGGTGGTTTTTTGTTAACCTGTACTGATTCTTCTTCATTAGTTCAGGTTTTCTGTACCAGTTATAGTTGACACAAAGCCCTTCAGAAGAGAGCTACTTGAGTACCCTTTGTAAATTAAAAATACTTAACTGAGCTTGTTTATATCCCACGATGTACCAATACGCTACATTTTCAGCTAATATGTACCAACTTAACGTTAATCACAAACAAACCCCAACATACATCCACTATAACTCATTTAAGATCAATAAGATGTTTATATGATCACAACCGTAAATGATCATTATGTGGGGCAGCTAGGCAATATATGGGTTAGGAGTATATGTTCTTAAAACACGTTCTTCAGGTTGGATTATTAAATCACAAAACTATTTTTTCTTCTTTTCACAAGTTTTGAAAGAGTATATACATTAAAAAGAAAGCTAATTTTCTCTGATTCATACTTTAACTACTTCAGGTACACCGTAGATGATCACGAGATCATTTTTCTATGAACAGCATTGTTCGTGCTAGATATCCAGTTAGCTCTTTGTTGAGGTACTATTCTATTAGGCAGTACAGTCTCGTATTTTACTTTCATTTTGAAAATCTTTTGAATATTATATGTACATCCTACAGTATGTAACAACATACCTGTTCCTCTTGGTAATTGCACCCCAGACATAGCCTCCAGGACAGAGCTTTTCCCTACGCTCTGATCGCCTATGACCACGACTGCGGGAAGAGCAACGTCCTTCTCCAAGCCATACTGTCTTAAGTCATCTATGGCATCTATACATGGACGAACCTTCCTGTTAAACTCATCAGCTAACACTGGCTTGTCATCTTGGGCGTTTGTGGATGGTGGCATCTTTCGAATGGGGTTTCTATATTCCTACATGTGTGCACAAAATAATTTAGAGCACATTCATAGCTTGGCCAGACATTTCGTTCAGAAAACAAGGTAACTCTGACTTTCCATTTAGTAGCCTAGCATATTTATATTTGAAATTCTGCGAGAAATTAAACACTCGCATCACAAAATTAAACACGTGGTCTAAAGGAGTTAATTTTTCTGAACTTTTTGAGAGAAGTGTAGGTATCATACAGGTACTGAGTAGGTAATATGTGGCTGGTCAGTTGTATCAGTTGTATCAATAATGAAAATCTATTAAAATCAAAAGGGGAAGTTTACATTGTATGTGTGATTCACAGAAATAACGAAACTAAATTACACTTTGCTCGATAAAAAATTACCATACGTTTTTCTTTTTCAAGTTCAATTAGTAGACTTGCGGTGTAATATTGCAATCTGTGGGTGGGGATCTTTAAAAAAGTCAGTATTTTAATCTAAGTACCTGTGACCACCCCCCCCCTCTAGTGGGGGGTCACAAGGCATTGTAGCTAGACTATCTATTATTGTAAAATACAATGAATGTGTTCGCTTAAATTAAGACGCAAGACAATTCCGATTTAAGTCATAGCATTTAGATGTCTTATATGCAAATTTCAAATACTTACGTATTCCTATTTCGATTTTATGCAGATAACACGATTGATCCCGCTCCTCTGAAATCCTTTCACCTTTTACTTTCCTTTCAGTTTGTCCCTTTATATACGAGCGTATTTGTTATAGATTAATCAGGCGGGTTTCCCAAAGAGACGAACAGTCATCAGTTGTGCTTCATAGGAATAGGAATACTTTGACTCTGTATGTTTAGATGGAAATTTTGGAATAATCATTTTACTTCCTTGTTCTTAGAACATTTTATCATATTATAATTGGCAGAGGGGTTCACAGAATCAATACTTTCGTTATCGTATACAAGCATAGGGAACAACATTGCAATTAATTATTAAATTATAGTATTTACTCAAAACCTCACATGTTACTTTTGGACTTTGATTTACCTTCCTCGTTGATTTTGATATAAAGATGCAAGAACATAATCAACCCGATGTAACAGATTGGGTTGTCCCAAAATGTCCGTTGGGGGACATGGAAAACTAGGGTATATTTACGAGGATAATGGGCAGAAAGTAGTAACTTACACTGTGCAAAAAAGGCTATATAGAAATAGAATATCCTGTTAACTATGCTCTAATATCAACTGTCATAGTGTGAAATATCTCCCGTATCTCCCGTGTTGTATAGACACATGCTATATCCAGATATTTGGCGGACAACTAGTATAGTTAGTACTATTTGCCACTCTACTAAATATGAACTAATATAAGCTGTGTTATATATCAAGGCTAACATATAGTTTGTCTACCACTCTATCATATCTACAGAAAGGATATACTAGCCGATTCTATGAACAACAGCTTCTTCTAGCATATATCAGGATATACTATTAAATCAGAGGTCCAAAAACAAGAGATACGCTAACTATACGAAATGACGTCATCACATCTTATTTCTGTAACTTATCTGGCTTATTAATGATTGATGACTTGTTTACATTGATAATTAATCCGTTTGTTAGAGTGAATGGATTAATTTTCTACAACCGATGGTTCTTATTTCCTTAATAAATATAATTTGCATATGAATTATTTTAAATAAATTTGATGGCATAATGTCCCCAACACTATGATAAACATTGTGTCAAATTTTGAATTAAATCCATCATGTGGAAAGATACTATTTTAATGAATGAGTTTTCCACTCGGTTTTACTACATTGTTTCACCTTCAGATTGAGTTTACATTAGAGAACAGAGGCTCCATATTACACAGATACAACCTACAATCTGTATGCCCTTTGTTAAACAACGTGTATTCTCTTATATTTCACAATTCATGTTTTCTGTTATCTATGTATTATAAGTGTTAAAAACAATTTAGTTATCTCAAACAATGTGTTTATAAAATCTGAAAAACCACCAGATTATAGTCCCTTTGATGAAGTAGTTTCTATTTAGAAATCCACGTGACAAGTTTACATTAATCCGTTTGTTATAATTTATGGATTAATCTCATGGTACTTGTGTGGGGTACTATGATATAAAATTATAGAAAACAGTTTTGAACAATGGAATGTAACTAATCCTTATTAACTTTTGTACATACATTTTACCTCACTGAATGTTAAAATCACAAAGTTATTTATCTTAATGACAATTCACTTTATTAATAGACAACAGAGAGGGGATAAGCTTCTCCAATTTGTTTATCTAATAGCTAAAATATTTAACTTGTGGTTAATAAGCTAGATAAGTGATTTTACTTTATTAGCGCTGCAAGCAATGAGACCTGATGACGTCATTTCGTATAGTTAGAGTATCTCCTGTTTTGGGGGTCTGATTTGGGAGTATCTCCTGATATAAGCTGAAATAAGCTGTCTCTAGCACAGGATAGGCTGCATATCTCCTGTTCTGTATATCCAGTACTGTATGATTAGTAAGATATAGTCAGTTTTTTAAGAGTATAGACAGAAGATATTTAATATAGATTGCAAATCTCCTGATCATATCTCCATTTAAATTAGTATAATGTGGGACCTATTCTTTGACATACCATCAAATAATTTGATATAGGTGGTATGATACTCAAATTTGTCCGTATTAAACATTTGATATCTGACTATATTTTAGGGGATTCTAAGCAGATTTGCAAACTATTTATGCAAATCTCTTGAAATAAAACAGGAGATATCGCACATTTTGCACAGTGTTAGGCGATTCTTAAATCTGCTGCACCGGCGATAAGCATGGTATGATATGTTATGGTTATGTATGTAGTGGCATGGTATGGTATGGTATGGTATGGTATGGTATAGTATGGTGTGGTAAGGTGTGGTATGATATAGTATGGTCTGGTATGGTTTGGTATGGTATGGTATGGTATGGTATAGTATGGTATGGTATGGTATGGTATGGTATGGTATGGTATGGTATGGTAAGGTATGTTATGATATAGTATGGTGTGGTATGGTATGATAAGGTGAGCTATGATATGAATTAATCTGATATAGAATAATTTCGAGGATTATTTACGAGTATGTCATCATTCACCCTATTATAATTGTTATAGTGTCATCTAAGCCAACAAGACCATTGGTTATGGGGAATCCCCGTTTAATCATCAAAGGAAGATCCAGAGTAACACCCATACAACTAATTATCTAAACCGCAAACTAGTAGTATGACTCTGAGTCATTCTAGCTGACTTCTGGCGGAGTTCCGGGTTTTATAATATCTTATAGACTCTATTTCAAAATCCGGAACTACTTAGTTTTACTAGGGACCTCTGTAACAAGAACAAAAACTAGAGACCTCTGTATCACCTCTTTGAAATGCTTAAGGATTTAAGCCTTGGACTCGGTGCATCGTTTGCTGAATCATACCATGGAAGTGCTATTTCTAAATCTTTGCATGACCGCGTAAGGAACAACGTCTGAGTGAAATGAAGCAGCTAAAATGCATTGGGTCTTGGGCGTAAATTCTTTTCACACATTGCACAATATTTTCTATAAAATCACCAACAAACATATTTTCAATATTTTTTGCAAGGGTCATGGTATTGGCAACACATCTCCTCATCTTGGTAACCATACAAAACAAATGCATTATTGCATTATTATATTATTTCATGCACTGCTGTCACTCAGAAATGCTCTGCTCGGATTGGCTGGAATCGCACACACCTTGCCTAGCCATGTGTGAATATACGACCATTCACGAAGCCAATACGTAACTTTACTCTGCTGGCGTGTTTGGGAAGCTCATGTTTAATCGTGAATGCTATAGATATAACGTTTCAAATGAAAAGCTTAATTTTTACTGTTGATCTCTTTTGACAAAAACTTTGTCTCTGAATTCACACCACAATAATTCACAAAAATCAATAGAATGTGTGGTATTCTTGTTGATTTCAGAACAAAATTACTGCCTTGTTCTTAGAACTGATTATCATATCATACTGGATAGTCTGACCCTTTCATGAAGTGAGAAGGCAATATGTATCTTTACCTCGGTTGAGATTGCGACTTCATTTAAAAATCCAATTCCCAACTGCGTATATTCATTAAATGTTAGCAAAATTATAATCTTAAACTTGCCTTTAAAGTAGGTTTAAATCGAGAAATCAAAAAATCTCATGTCAAAGTAATTAGTTAGGGAACATTATTAAGGTAGCCACTTCAATAGATCTTACTTAACGTCAGCGTATCATAATAAATCAGTTAACATGTCATTAGCAAACAAAGAAATCATATTTCCGTATCCTTGGCGGTTAATGATCTCTTTGGTATATGATGACAGCGTATGCTGAAGCATCTATTTAGCAGTGGCGGATCCAAGAACCAACAGGGGGGGGGGGAAGATTTGAGGTCAGAGAAAAAAACGAAAAAAATGTTGGGCCCCTAAAACCGAAAAGTGGGCCCAAATTTTGAAATTTTGAGGCCCATTTTCTTCAAAATTGGCCTAAAATTTTAAAAAATAAGGCCTTAGACGGCCCAATAATGACCAAAAGGCCCACTTTTTGGGGCCTTTAAGCCTTTTTTGGCCTAAAATGTTTTTGGGCCCGACTTTTTTTCTGGGCCAACCTTAGGGGGGGGGCGGGCCCCATGCCACCCCCCGCATCCGCCATAGAGGTGGAAGCGTTTCTATGTCATCAGACAGATTGTTGTGGTCGAACGAAAACTTCCTTACCCTTAAATGGTAGAATGTGTATGTTGTTGTTTATGTGACGACAACATATGCTGTGGCGCATATTAATCACTTTGAGGCGTTTCCATGTCAGCAATTGTAGTCTGGTATTTTTGCAATTTTATTTAAAACGAAATGTAGAACAGCAAGGGGTTCAATTTGAATAACTTAAAACGAATGAAAAGCATTAAAACCGTTTGATCCCGTCCGCCATTTTGAAGGGGAATATAACGCCAGTAACCGTCTCTTGATACCGACCAGGGATAATGTTCATTGATGATGTTATCTCAGGTACTTCAAGTCACAATATTTGAATATTTATTGTGACCTGTCTGTATTACTTTTAAGAACATCATTGAATATGTATTGTGACCTCTCTGTATTACTTTTAAGAACATCATTGAATATGGACCTGGTTGACTAATATACAAATATACAGCACTTCCTACTATCAAATAAAAGATGCCATTCTTCGCACCTTTCAAGAGCATTCTACTAATAGTACCGAGAACCCGACTGAATATCAATAAACACGTTATTGTTTTTTTTCTTCTCCTGCCAAAAAATCATGAATAGAATATCTGCATTCATAGGCTTAATCAGGCCTGATTCAACTGAGGCAACTTCCAGGGGGCAACTTCCTCATAATCAAAAAAACTGTAAAATATCAAAGGAGTTTTGACTATTTGGGTTAAATGTTGATATTTCGTCTGGGAGTCAATTGATAGATGGCAGCATTGTTTACATTTTAACCATAAATATGTTATTTGTAAAACACAATCATTAGAGATTGGCCTTCTATAAGCTGCTTTCTAGAAGATTATATATTGTTGAAGGCAGAAAGATGTGATGAGAATGGTAAAACACACAGAGGTGTATTCTTAATAATATGTGTATTTATAGAATACTGCGATAATGCCATCTTTAAATACAACATGTCAATAGTATTACCATAGTATTACCATAATAACATAACAGTATTGTACATGATGCAAGAACAAATATATTTAATATATTATAGGTTTTATAAAAAATAAACTCTATACATGTTTAGAACTAAGGTCACACTATTCATGCATGTTAATAAAGAGGCTACAGAAATAGATTTAACCTACACATTACATGTGTTTATTCTAACTTACACATTGCATGCGTTTGATTTGTGTACACATTTTGTGTATTTTAACTTACACATTACATGTGTGTGATTTATGTATACATTTCATATGTCTGTTTTCACACATAACATAGGTGTGACTTATGTACATATAACATATGTGTATTTAAACTTACACATTACATATAATATGTGACTTATGTAAATATAACATGTTTTATTTTTAATTTACACATAACATTAACAATTTTAATACATATTTAATACATTAATAAATAAATATCAAAACGTATTTACAAAGGATGCATACAGGAGATATATATTGCAAAGCATAAGTTTTGTATATTAAATGATACAAATGCATAAGGTAAGAATTGAGAACTTCTGATATAAATACTACGAATATTCACAAAGTATATGTCTAGCATATAAGGTCTATATTATTCCATAAGTATTTTGTAAAGTAAAGCAATACACAATACTGTAGTCCATTTGGACTTAACTGCACGTTCTAAGCCATAAGTTATGGAGTAGTTTTAGTACCCCATGATTTAAAAACAACGCTTCTATAGAAACGCATTGACCCTGTTAAATGAGAATCATCCCCTCGTGTCCTTTTTAGGATTGGAATTACGCATGCACTTATGATTTTTCAGAGAAACCCTCAATTATTTAGCGGCGGATATCATCTCGATCTTCTTAAAAATGTATATTTGTGCAATATCGAAAGCATCACTTTGTCGTATTGATGTGTAATTGAATAGAGGAAATGATATCCCGCGTAAAGAGAGTATTTCAACCTTATTTTAAAAATTTAATACTAGGTTGGTTGCTACAGCAACATCCATTTACTTGGATAGTTGATACTATGGTAACCAATGCATGGCTGCCATTGACGACTGGTTCGTGAACAAACCACAGTTGCGTTCTACTAAGATCATTTGTAAAATACTTAATGCTGTTGTATTATTACAGTATTATATAAGTATTATAACATTCCAGTAAAAATTAATGTGATTGTCATGGAGACGAGGGATAATACTGTTATAAACGGCGATATTTGTTGCTTTGTAGCTGCGCTGACCTGCCCAGGCCTTGCTTCTCTGCAATCCATCCAGAAGGGACCGGATGGCTGGGGATACCCCTCTTCAACGCGCATATTCTCGTCATCGAAACGGTAAAACTTCCTTCCCTTGAAGAAATAGGTTCGGCCTGAAATAAACGATAAGACATTGTGAATAGGAAATAACAAAATTAGCACTGTTGTTAAACCATGGGCTTTCAATTGTAAGCCCATGGTTAAACATAATAGTCATGATGGCCTGGTGTTTGAATCGAAAATATTTCGCCTCTTTATTTATAGATGTCAGTAATTGTTGCCTCTTTAAATTATTGTAGATGTCACATGGCACCAAAGTTCAAATCCAGTAAATCGTGGACTAAGTGCATTGAGGTTAAAGTGTCTGCTATATCAATGCTAGTTTTCAAGAACATCTCAAAGTATCTATAATATTCTATTATTTCTGCCAAACCAAGGCCATCTTAAATATTCGGGAATAAGTTCATGCACTGGACGAAAACTTACCATCCCAGAACTGGAAAGCGGCATCTATTGGCACTGGGACTCCTTTCCATCCGGACATGCTCTTGGTGTATTCGATTTTCTCAGAATATTCATCATACCTTAAAAATGAAATCAGTATTTAGTATACTTGTATATTTGCAAAGGATCTTAATAGGAATATAACTACATATAATTTACAATAATTTGCATTGCACATACGGATTTACGTGTTTTATCTATCAATTTTTATGCGTACTATTATTTACCATTTAGTTCAAGGTAGACGCTTTCAACCAAAGCTGATCGTCATAATTACTTCCTTATAATTTATACATCCGGATACATACCTCCAAAATCTCCTTCCTCGGACGAAATATGTTTTCCCGTTGTTTCCCCATACGAAAGCGGCGTCCAAAGCAGTCAGATAAGAGGGAAGACCGAAATCTTCGAGTGGTCTACCTTGCTTGGGGAAGTTAGGCTTAAGATAGTTGCCATCAAACTTCCAATACCTATCACCTAAAAGATTGATAAAAATCTGTGAATTTGTATTTATAATCTGTCATTAGTTAGCAAATACATTCACCTTTTCACGAGGTCTATCAAATTTGGTTTATGAGAGTAACATTTATGGCTATTGTTGTATATTTCAAATGATTTACCTTTGAAAAACACAATTGTATAATCGCTTTGCTCGTAGACTGCATCGACACTTTGGAACTCTTCGGGTAAACCAATGAAGAACGACTTTATGGGAATTGGATAGTTGTAACTGGCCCCTGTCGCATCACGGATACTACGTCTCCAGAAATACTACAATAAAATAAACAAACTAATTAAATGTGTATACAGTCATAAACATAAACATAAGCATAATCATAAAATATATGATAAACAACCATAAACATACACATAAGCATACAGACAAAACAAATAGCATGTTAAGAAAATAAAATCTAATCTCTATGATTTTTTGTGTTTTGGCCTGATCGATGTAAGATCATCGTGGAAATGTCCATGGCAATACATTTAAGAGCAAGACAAAACCCTAATATCATTTTTGTAAATGAACTTACATTGTCCTTGAACATGAAGACTTCTCCCCTGATCTTAGCCACAGCGTCGAAGTCTGTACTACATGGGTCAGGGCGATCGGGTTTGTTAGTCTCTACAGGTGCTCGTTTTGTCGTAGTTGTTCTTACAGCTGGCGTGGTAGCGTCGACCGTGTAGGGAACTTCAGTTGAGATGGCTCTGGTGGGTTTTACTGTTTTAGGCATAGGTGCGGGTGTTGTCCTGTGCGTGCCGGGGTTTGGACCTGACGGAAAAATATACATTTATATTAGTAGATACTAAAGATTCTATTTTGCCCATCATCGTGCAAAATATAAATACTTAGTATAAGTAGAAGAATACAGAATTTCTATGAAAGTAGTAAAGTTTGGGACTAGAAATGCTTCTTTGCTAATAGTGCCATAGGTTTGAAAGAAAGTGACAGAAAAAATGACATGCCACTCAACAGCAATGGAACCTCACAAGAAAAAGCAAACAAAGTATATCCCTTTCTCATGTTTTTAAACCAATCATAAGAAAAACAAAGCCACTGTATCATAAACCCATGAAAAGAAAAAGACAATGTGTAATACCCCTTCCCTTCACCATTAATAAAATAGATCACAGCTCACCATAAAGCTTTTGAATTCCGCCAATGTCATCCCCATGGAGTTTAAAGTTAGGATTGTGACCTTGGTACCAGGGGTACATGAGAGATCCTCTTACAGACGAGTGCGCAAGCCCCAGAGCGTGTCCAAATTCGTGCACAGCTACCCAAAACAAATCAGTACCTAAAAAAGCAAAAACTCAATTAGTTAGCAATCATGCCGCTTGTACACCAATCATTAATCATCTATTGTTATTTACTATATCGTTTGTTAAGTATTATATCGGTTGTTTGTATGGTATATGAGTACTAGTCGCGATGTGAAGATTAAGTCCAGCACTCTAATGTTGTTTCTTCTGAATAAGGATCGAGATCGAAACCTATTGTACAAGAGGGACATACACAATTGAGCTGGCTATGTTTCTTACCATCACTGGAATCAATGACCCATGGTTCGTCCTCGTCAAAATGTGTGTCTCCTCCCCTCCCATTGCCTGGGAAAAAAGCATGGGCCAACACACCACCAATACCATCGAATGGGTACCCGTCATCGTGGTAACCACGGCGGAAGGATATGTAGATGTCTGCTTCGCTTGCATCTTCTATTTCTGTAAAGGTCAGTGGAGTAACTTCAGCCCAATAGTTGAATGCCCTTGCTATTGTAGACCTGATCTGTTCCCGGTCTAGATCGGGTGAGTAGTTCAGGAATCTAGAAAAATGTGTTTGAATGGTTTTGCCAATTAATGAATACATGTTGAATCATACCTCATAATCTAAAAATCCTCAGCCTCTTTAAGATCACAGTTTTTAACTAAGCTGCTATTGTGGAAGGTGAATCGACTGGAATTAATTTACTTTATAACAGTTCATAAATACGTGAAATCGCATTCACATATTTTAAAAGTAAGTCAATTCTGATATTTGATACATTTAATCTTCTTAAATCTCGCTATAGCCAAAATCATAAAGTCATATAATCAAATATACCTGTATGTGAGATCTGTTTTGTCCCATTTACTCCTCGCCAGTGCATATCGCTTGCGCCTCTTCATCTGTTCCGACGTGCCGACAAGGTCAGGCATGCCACAACGCGGTTTCGTCATTTGGTCCAAAGTCTGTTGGTTCACCTGTCCCGTGACGGGAAGGTTTGCAAACCTTTGGAAAACCTCGATGGCGCTGACAAGAGACTTCTCTGTTCTAAGCTCACCCTTCGTCAGGTCAAGTGGAGGGAGATATCCAAATTTTGAAAGGTAATCCTACAATAACAACGTAATAAGAATAAACCAATTATCCGCAACATAACAAGGCCTCCCCTGAACAATTCAGCAATCCTATATCAAAATAATGATACGAATACTGTGAAGTTTATATCTACAGTTTCTATTGTAATATAAATGTTTGTAAAAATAAAGAAATACGCAACTCTGTAGTCCATTTGAACTATAAAGTGCACTTTCTAAGCCATAAGCTTTGAAGTATTTAAATTGCCAATGTTACCATCACCACTACCGATTACACGCAGCACAACAAGATCCGTTTGTACAACTAAGATAACTGTGATACATTCTTTTGAAAATATGTACATCACTTTACGTAATGTTGTCAAAAGGAAGATGCACCCATGTGCTATGAAACACAAATAAAATAAATAGTTACACATCAAAACGATATATTGACTTAGCACATAACAAATATTACCACCCCATTTATATGTTTTGGGGTCCTTCTGCTTTGGCACTGACGCCTAAATATACATATTTATCATATCTGTTAGATACACTTAAAATCCATAAGTAATTACAATGTATATGTTGCAAATTAATGTGGTCAAATTTGTTTAATGTTATATCTAACAAATTGGCGAAATATGTGACCTGACCCGAACCAACCTTTTGGCCACCGGTAACCAGTTATTACAAGAACGGTTATGCCAATTATTATCCCACGATAAGTTGAGCGTTAACATTGTTTTGATATGAGCTTATTCATTACAAAGATATTGAAATTACAACACATTGTTTTCATACATTTTGTGAGTATATCGACAGCTAATACAACAAATTGTTTTGAGATAAATAGAGTTTGATCTTGTTTGAACTATCAATATATATGCGTACATTGCAATTTAAACCATCAAAATATCCCAAGATGTTTAAATCAAAATATTTGTCAGATCATTATTATAAAGGAACTCGTAGTTGTTAGATGTTGAACTGGTCAGTTGGCAATGAATTCTTGTTAAAGAGCTTAACCTTAGAGGGAATTTTAAAACAAATAATACTTTGTAATGTAATAAATAGAATAGATATTATCTTGATTAAATTTTCTTAGTGCTTAGGTGAACTGACTACTTGATAATCGTTTCTTCATGATTCAAAGGCTCTTTTGTCTCCGTTTTAAGGTACATATTCGTTTATTCAGTCGTTGTTTTATGAATACAAAATGAAGATAAATATCAATTTATATTCAAAGAACATGTGTACATTTTTATAGATTTTATTATATAAAATATAACATATTTACAAACGTTTTGCTCAAAAAAACAAAAAACAATTGTCACGAATTTAAGAGAGTGTATCCAATTTGCTAAAGTTGCTAGAGTTGTAAGCATGGCACAGATATGATTTTGATGATCTTGGAAAGACAATCATGTGATCATCACAAAGAAGGAAGTCAAAATACTCATAGTCGTTCTTCATCAGCGAATCAGATGATGTGAAAAATTATAAATCATGTTTTCACGACCACAATACCACTAAGTAACCACAACACGAAACCTTTAAGAACATGAACCAATTTACAAACCAAAATTTACCACCACTCTAAAATCATCAAGGTTATCTCTGATAGAGGTCAGGAAAAACTTGTAATCGAGGAGAATACAAGTCACGAGACAGAAGAAATAAAAACGATTTTGCAATTGTATTCTATACAAGTATAGCAGTCCATACTTTGATACTTTAATCATAATATTCTATATACACCTATGTAGATAGGTTAAAATTTAATCGTGTTTTTTGTTTTAGAAATATATTTCCTTCTAAAGTTAACATTGATGTTACTCATGCTTATGACATCGATTGCGTTTGAACCTAAGCTGAACTCTAGGATTCAAACAAGGACGCTACCTGAATGTCCTGATCTTAAGGTCAAGTGAAATATTTGGAACATCTCTCCTCTATATTAAATCCTGCAACCTAATTATTTACATAACCCTACTTAGCGAGGAAATACTGAACAGTTCATCCCACTTTAGCAAGGGATCCATTTACTTAAATATGCCCAATTACCAATGAATAAATACATGTTCTTATCAAACGATGACATGAGTGAAAAAGTTCAGCATAACTTTGTTGTAAAATACATCCACTTAGTTTTATGATCTAACCATTTTCGGTATCCTAGTTAATGATTTGAGATGTGTACAATAAAACACTTGTAGTTTTACTTTTTACGACATAAAAACAAGGCTTTAAGAAGATAAGTCAATAGACAAGTAATATAATTAAGATATTTATTTCTACTTCACTGTTTTTGACTTGTTTTATTGTGGCTACGTACTGGGTGCATGGTTGCGAGCCAAAAAGATTGTAACATACTGATCTTCTCATAACTTTCCTAAGTAGTACCACACTGTGATAATTACTGACGATGAGGTGTTGTAAAGAAAATATTATTTATCTTAATAACATAAATATTATAATAGGCTGGCGCCTAGTGATTTCTCTTCTTTTGATTGACTTTTATATTTACCCCAGTCTGATTTGCCAATTCAAATATCATGCAATTTCATAACGGAAATATACGTTATGAGCTAAAATATCGAAAGAAGATGCCAAAATAGTATTTTAAGTTCAAGTTATTAAACACAACATGAATATGAAAAGGTGAATCAACATGTTTTGAACTTTACTGCGTATGTAACAACGTTTTCCTAAATATGCGCAAGTTTACATTCGATGTTTCTCTCAATGGCACTTCCGACTATTTTTTATAAATGTGCCTTATAATTTTTGATTTTGATATTTGACCAAAAAATCTCAACTTCCCAAAAAAGTTGTTAAGTTATTTCCCAATACAATAGGTTAACGTATTTTTATTCAACAAAATGCGCTGAACAATAATTCATTTCAATAGCTATTTTGGTTTTCCCAAATATCAAATTACTCTTCTACTTCAATCTATTACTATGCGATGATAAAATGCATATTTGAAAAAGGCCTAGTTTAAGATGATAGGAATAATTAAGCAATGTATTGCTATTGGCTTTTGCTTTATATATCAATACAAAAATGAAAATATTAACTTAAACTTAGTAGTCGTACAAATACAGTTTAAATATCTTACCACACTACTTGAGAGGGCTGCTAGCGACTTTTCTTCTTTTATATCGGCCCCAAATAGATTACTAGCAGATACGATCGTAAGCGCTGCACATATCACAATGCATTGTAAAAAATAAGGTGTTGGAGTCCTTGATGCGCATCCTTGATGTAAAATGTTTAGTCGATGCATGTTTGATATTTTCGAATATCAAATTAAAAATTAAGTTATCTGGTTGATTTCTTCTTCACGTTAGCTGTCCGAGTTTCTGAATCTTTATGCTGATGTTGCTCTCTGAAACACTTCTTAAAGGTTTGAACTAGCTTAGATATTTAAATTATATGAAGTTACAATAACGATAAATAGTTTGATTAATGCCTCTTGGCTCTGCAACAAAGTACGAGATTACTCCGGTGTTTATCCTCAAATGAATGATTAGAATTCTGATTGACAACCAGTTTTATAACAGCTCTAACAATACGACATTCCCACGCGCACTACTTTTTCCACGATCATGACGTCACTATTTCCGGAAGCGTGTGTCATCACGGCCTGGACCGCGGACTCATATACCACAAGGACATGTACTCAATGTGTATTCACAGAATAATAAAACCACTTGCTAAGAAATAGATTTGTCACTTAAAACCTCATGAAAAGCTTACATGATATATACAAAACAGAAGTTTTTATTTGCATTGTACTGATATGCGTGCATAAAAATCAAAACATCAATAAAATACAAGTAGCGCTTCGGCTTTAAAAGTTGGTTCAATGACAACAGGTTTAAGCTGGCAAATGATCATAAAATTATTTAAACTTAGTGACCCTTGCCTTATAACGTCAATTTCTTTAATTCGCCGAAAATGCTAAATGCACTGGTGATGTTTTTATTTGAAAGTACATTTAGATTCATTGAAGTGTCATCAAACCCATAAAGCCCTATGAGGATATGTGTTATGTTCCGCTTCTACCAGGTGAGGATTTTCAGTGCTTGCGAGATTTTCAATCGACAAATGAGGTTCCAGAACTAGCCTTTTGCCGTTTGAGTAATGAGGAAGTAATTGTTTGATGTTAAGACAATTGACCTAAAAAAGATACGTGATTCAGTCATTTATTATGCGATGTAACAATATACTTTCTTAAAATAATTTATTTCAATGAGACATAAGCACTGGCTTATAACCACTTGACAAATTAGGAAGTATATGTTCTATGTTAAGATTATCAATTTAAATAGATACATGATTAAGCCACTTAATAACAGAAATAACAGTACACATTTTCAAAATAATTGTTTTATAATTCCGAAAATATCATTGGCCACCACGGTACTATATTGCCACTAGATAGTTTATGAGTTAATACTAAGTACATTAATATGTACATTATATTACAATCAGTTCCTGACTCGGGGAAGTGTTTTGTTCAATGTTTACATTCGCCATTACGAGACAAGAACTAGGTGCCCAGCAAACAGTGACGTCCATGTAACGTCACTCATATGTGGTATATAAGTTCACTGGAGACGTTGTATATTTCCGTTATATAAACGTCAAAGCAACGTAAAATTGTGACATTCAGCAAAACGTCGGTGGATGGTTAAAAAATGACGTTGTAGTAATGTGTTAGTAAAGTTCGAAATTTGTGCTGGTGTGAAAAACGTAACAATGACGTTGAATTTTTACCAGTTTGGTTCATTTGCAACGTAATATAAACGGTAAAATTTAACGTTGTCGTAACGTTTTTTAAATGTGTAAAATATTTGTAAGTGCAGGAAACATTACAAAGACGTTGCAGTTCTCACCAAATTGTTTCATTTGCTACGTAATATAAACGGTAAAATTTGACGTTGTCGTAACGTGTTTTAAATGTGAAAGATATTTGTAAGTGTAGAAAACGTTACAAAGACGTTGTGTTCTCACCAAATTTGGTACATTTGCTACGTAATGTAAACGGTAAAATTTGACGTTGTCGTAACGTATTTTAAACGTGAAAGATATTTGTAAGTGTAGAGAACGTTACAAAGACGTTGCACTTCTCACCAAATTGTTTCATTTGCTACGTAATATAAACGGTAAACTTTGACGTTGTCGTAACGTGTTTTAAATGTGAAAGATATTTGTAAGTGTAGAAAACGTTACAAAGACGTTGTGTTCTCACCAAATTTGGTACATTTGCTACGTAATGTAAACGGTAAAATTTGACGTTGTCGTAACGTGTTTTAAACGTGAAAGATATTTGTAAGTGTAAAAAACGTTACAAAGACGTTGCACTTCTCACCAAATTGTTTCATTTGCTAAGTAATATAAACGGTAAAATTTAACGTTGTCGTAACGTTTTTTAAATGTGTAAAATATTTGTAAGTGCAGGAAACATTACAAAGACGTTGCAGTTCTCACCAAATTGTTTCATTTGCTACGTAATATAAACGGTAAAATTTGACGTTGTCGTAACGTGTTTTAAATGTGAAAGATATTTGTAAGTGTAGAAAACGTTACAAAGACGTTGTGTTCTCACCAAATTTGGTACATTTGCTACGTAATGTAAACGGTAAAATTTGACGTTGTCGTAACGTGTTTTAAACGTGAAAGATATTTGTAAGTGTAGAAAACGTTACAAAGACGTTGCACTTCTCACCAAATTGTTTCATTTGCTACGTAATATAAACGGTAAAATTTGATGTTGTCGTAACGTGTTCTAAATGTGAAAGATATTTGTAAGTGTAAAAAACGTTACAAAGACGTTGTGTTCTCACCAAATTTGGTACATTTGCTACGTAATGTAAACGGTAAAATTTGACGTTGTCGTAACGTGTTTTAAAAGTGAAAGATATTTGTAAGTGTAGAAAACGTTACAAAGACGTTGCACTTCTCACCAAATTGTTTCATTTGCTACGTAATATAAACGGTAAAATTTGATGTCGTCGTAACGTGTTCTAAATGTGAAAGATATTTGTAAGTGTAAAAAACGTTACAAAGACGTTGCGTTCTCACCAAATTTGGTACATTTGCTACGTAATGTAAACGGTAAAATTTGACGTTGTCGTAACGTACGTGTTTTAAATGTGAAAGATATTTGTAAGTGTAGAAAACGTTACAAAGACGTTGCAGTTCTCACCAAATTGTTACATTTGCTACGTAATATAAACAGTAAAATTTGACGTTGTCGTAACGTGTTTTAAATGTGAAAGATAATTGTAAGTCTAGGAAACGTTACAAAGTCCTTGTTTTCCCACCAAATTGGTTCATTTGCCACGTAGTAAAAATGGCTAATTGTAACGTTGTCAAAACATGGTTTGAATGTGAAAAATATTTGTAATTGTAACACACGTTACAAAGACGTCATTTTCTGACCAAAATGGTTCATTTTCAACGTAGTGCAAACGGTTAATTTCAACGTTGTCGAAACGTGTTTTCAATTGAAATGTAAAAAAATATTTGTAAGTGCAGGAAACGTTACAAAAAGACGCTATGTCCTCACGAAATTGGTTTATTTGCAACGTTGTCGAAACAGTTAATTTTGACGTTGACGAAACGGGGTTTAAACGTGAAAAATACATATACATGTATGTGAAAAAGAACGTGACAAAGACGTTGTGGTCTCAACAAATTCGTTTAATTTGTGACGTGAAGTAAATGTTAAATATATAACGAATATACATGTATGCCTCGAGTTTTGGTAACTTTAAATACTGATCGGTGGAGGCACAGGCATATGTTGGCTCACACAGATGAACTTAACGTGGTAATTGAGAGTGAGAGTGGAAATATGATGTAAAGAAAACGTTTCTCCGACGTTGTAATTTTGCCATGGGTTATTGCTGACAAAAGTCTGACGTTCTGTCCCGGGGGGTTCATTCCAATATACCTCTTAATACCTATGTGCCGCGCCAAAGACCCCCTTTTTGAGCATTTTTTCCATGTCAATTTCCTCTCAAAATTGGAAGTTTCCATGTATTATTCCTCTCAGAGTTATAAAATTCCATATTTTCTTCCTCTGAACTTCATAGATGTCCATGTCGACTTCCTCTGGAGCTTGCCGGTGTAAAAGAAATTATGGTCCCCTGGGGATTATGGTCCCCTTTCTTAAAGGCCCTTACTGGCCCTGATTGTGGATACGATAATAAGGGAGAGTTGTATTTAGGTCACAATATAAATCAATGGAAAGTAGGACCATAATTTGATAGGACCTCCTACCCTTTTACACCGGGACTAAAGTTTGCGAATTATCGGTAAATTGACTAAAACTCCACTCTTCCGGCGATTTGTCAGACCTCGGGACAAAAATTGTAGTCCCTTTCAACAAGGGCGAGCGTTACAAACGGAAAGTACATCGTTCGCAAATTTGATGTATTTCTCGTTCGGCTTTTTATCGTATTCTGTTCTATCAACCAATAGAAATAGAGCAATTCCCGCGTCGAAATCAACATGGAGGACAGTTCCAAGTTCAAGAATATTGCTGCTTAAAAGCAACTTGGGAGCCGTACTGCCAGCTTTCGAAGGTAAGAATGATGCATGCATGTTACACAATCACCAAAGGTTAAAATGAAAGCATTCCATGGCCGGTACTTGCAGCGAGAACACAAATAATCTCATGTGAAAGTTGGGATCGTTTCAATTTTCAAAATTTTTGTCAGTTGAAATTAGACTTTTGAATATTCTGATATTTGAATCGATGTTATTGATTTTCAATTTCATCCCGATTTTCAATCATAATTCCTGGTTCATAATTTTCGTTAGGTCAATTACAAGGGGTCCAGGGGTCAATTAACCATCAGCGACTTTCAAGTCAGATCCGGTCCCTGGGATCTGGCGCAGAGGTGTTGATTGGATGGTGAAGTGTTTATGGCAAATGGTTTATGCAGTTATCTTAATCTTGATGGTGATCTCTGTTAGATCTACCTCTTTCAAAGAATAGACATTGCCCGGGGAGTCAGTGATTGCCATCTTTAGCCTGATAGATAATCATGATGGCAGAAATAGAGAAATACACAAACATGTATCAGTTTCATATGCTTTAGAAAATGTACATGTTTGCGAACGAATAGTTCAGAAGACAATAGAATCGTCGATTTAATTCCTCACTTAAGTTACATAAACGGTTTTTCGAAAAACAGTTAAGATCTCATTCTGCACTTTTAACCCGAACCGTTTGTGTAACTTAAGTGAGGAATTAAATCGATGATTCTGTTGTCTTCTGAGCTATGCCTATTTTTCGCAAACATGTTCATTTTCTAAAACATATGATGCTGATACATGTTTGTGAGAAAAAATGTTGCGGGGATTCTGCTAGTATGTATCCAACAGACCGAATATAATATTCGGTCTGTTATGATTGATATATTTCCTATGGAAATCGCGGTGATATTTTTTGCACATTAATTTCTCGTTTATTATAAGAATGTTCACCTTGAAAATTGGTGAATATGTTGAAGAGATGTTCATCTTAAACTAGAAGCAAAAATATTTGTATAAGGCGGGTACAAGTTGATATAAAATAATGAAATGTTCAGACTCACCGAAACTTCAGGATGTGTTCATAAGTAGATCGCGAAATCAATGTCAAGGACGTTTGAGTTCACGAGATCCAAACGAGATATGCAAATTTTGAACTTTGACAACACATGACCACTTGA